TGACCGTACCACACTAAAATACCTTCCGACACCCCTGCACCCTCTGACGGCCTATGGCAGCTTGGTAAGACAGGTTTGGGTATACATGTACGTGCAGTGCTAATACGAAGAAGCACAGTATGGTGGTCACTGGTCACACATACCAGAAGAGGAGCACGGTTGTTGTCGCCCATGCTGTTCACTTGTGCACAGGCGCCCATAGCACGAGACAATGGCACGCGCACACGCCACTGAGTCGGCCATGGAGGGCTGTGAGGGCGGTATGGCGCACAGGCTGGGTAGTTGCTGCAGAATGGCAAGGCAGGCGCTGGACAGGTGACTTGCGGCAGGATCAGCTGACGACCGAGACGACGACGATTGAATAAGGTTACACAGACGGACGGTATGCGTCGATAACAGCTGTGCAAGATTCATGGAACACCTGGACAAAGACAGAAGCACACACGCACACACACATGCATGCACGCACACACACAAGCACATACGCACCCCCACCCACACACACACACAGAACACGCCGAAACCTGGTCAGGATAAAATGGCCTGATTGCTTGTAGGGAATGCACACCTTCCATACTAGTGTATTGTGAACCAAGGTAACGAGTTCTTTTATTTCCTGTGGTATGGACTCCGCGGCCGCACAGTACAAGTATTCTTATGGCATGAATCTGGATATGTGTCAATACTTAGCACCAGGATTGGAGAATACTATGCGAACATCTGGTGAGACCAAGTAAGGAGCCTCTCTGCAACTCAACCCCCACCTACTCAACCCAAGCATGCCCTCATACATCACACTAATATCTGAGTTTGTCAAACTCAGTACGTTGAAACATGTTTTCACTCATAGGCGCCCAAATCTCATTTCCAGTGGGTAAGCGCTTGACAATATACTGCTGGTAACAACAAAAAAAGAGAGAAACCCTACCTTGGTGCAAACGTTTTCTCGGTTTCGTGTTGACAGAGCTCATTCAAATTCATCATGGCCAACGCTCTCTGTGGATGGTCAATATTCACAGGGACACCGCAAACGTATGTACATGTACACACACGCAAAAAAAGAAGAAGAAAAAGTTGCAGAAAGTTTCCAATGAGTTAACGATTCCCGAATGCACCAACTCCCTAGGGAGCCCATGTAACACTCCTAAATCAAAGCTAGACAGAGTTATCACTTCAGCTATGCCTACACTGTGACTCCACTGTGCATAGACTGTAACACATGAAAATAAGAACGGTTTAGGCTAGGTGGCTGACCCCCCTCTTCGGCACCCGATAGCACTGTAAACATCTACCCCCGGGCAGGCTCACGGTAAATGATAGGATATATACCTATATACCGGCACCGAAACGATTGTAGTGCGTAGCGCATGCAAATGAAAAGACGGAGCATGCACCTCAGCACACTGCACCCAAAGTGCAAGCCAGTGCATGTTCACATCAGTTCCCTCATATACTCGCAGCATGCTTTCTTTTACTAATATCATATGTTTCATCTTTTATTGAGAGTCCAGCTGCATGGTTAGGCGAGAAGGCAGAAATGCCTGTGTACCGTAATGTCGCGTATTAAAGCCGGGCTTATTCCTGTAGAAGCCGATGTCAGGGCTAGGCTTCTATTCACATCAGGCTTCTATTCACATCAGGCTTCTATTCAAACCAGGCTTCTATTCACTTCAGGCTTCTATTCACTTCAGGCTTCTATTCACATCAGGCTTCTATTCACTTCAGGCGTCTATTCACTTCAGGCTTCTATTCACATCAGGCTTCTATTCACATCAGGCGTCTATTCACTTCAGGCTTCTATTCACTTCAGGCGTCTATTCACTTCAGGCTTCTATTCACATCAGGCTTCTATTCACTTCAGGCTTCTATTCACATCAGGCGTCTATTCACATCAGGCTTCTATTCAAACCCGGTATATACATGTACTGCAGAGTTCACAGTTTTGTGAGTTACGATATTCGTTTAGGCGGTCAACTTGACATTCGAATGTCGACTCGAGAACGAACGTTCGAAGCTTCGAAGCATTCGTTTGACCACTAATTTATATGTGAGTCAAGTTGTCAACACTAAAACCAGGCTTATGTACCGACGGTGTACTGTAAAGTGAGAAACTTTTGCTAGAGATTAAATTTCGCTATTTTCGCGACCATCACACATTCGCGAATATAAATCGCCGCAAACCTCTTCGAACATTGATTGTAGACAGTACAAGATCCGACTGAAGAGATAGAATTGCAAAAGTTTCTCATCGTGAACCAGCCCGATTTATGAAAACGCTAAATTTGCGCGCGCGAAAGTTTGTCCCTTTAAAGTATCTTGAAGTTCAGGCTTCTATTGAAAACAGGCGTCTATATGAGATTGGACACTGACCACGGGGGGGGGGGGGGGGGGGGGCACAGTTTCTGCAAGCCCAGCCATACCTTATCTGATGACGCCGGCACCGCCGAAGCACCGGTCGGGGACGCCACGAATGACCCGTGAGCAAACAGGCGTTCCAGGCACGTATCCAACACCAACATGAATATGCAGCTGAAATGCTTGTGCAGATCAACAAAGAGAGAGTGCTGCACAAGGAATCAACAGCAGCACAAAGAAATTCTTCATCAGTACTTGAGAAGCCCCAAGAGAAAATGCCGAGGAGAGGATTAGCAAACCGAATTCGCACTTGCATGACTTTGACAGGCTGTGAATATGTACATATGGTACATGAATAATAGTAAATTTACGACAGCTCTGACACGAATCTGTGAAATCGTGCTCCGTCTGTTTTTGGGAACAAAATATGCGAAAGTTCACATTCCTGTTTGCGACACGAAAATTGCATGCGTACTCGAATGTGAAATTCGTGATGCTAAACCTCCACAACAACTTTCATCTGACAGCAAGATGTAAAAAGATAACGATAAAACATTTACCAGACCTCACTTAACTTTCAGGCACATGCAAAATTCGGAACATAATTCAGAGGATGGATGCGGCTGAAAGGGACCGAGAAAAAAAAAGGTAAGCAGGGCGCACTCGGAGTTGAACCAAGGACCTCTCGATCTGCAGTCGAATGCTCTACCACTGAGCTATACGCCCTTACATGGCTACAGCATGTGCTATATTAGGTAAGAAACCAATAAATGCTTCCTTCTGCTAAACATTTAAAGAAAAATTCTACAAAACGCAGTACAAATTCAGAAAGAACTAGATTTGTGAGAGTTTTCCTCCACAGAAAACACGACAACATGAAGTCAAGGAGAGAATGACCACTGACCACCGTGCATGTGAATGGTGATCATACGGTTGCCCTAACTGACCACCGTGTGTGTAAATGATCACATACGGTTGTCGTAACTGACCACCACGTGTAAATGATGACATGCGGTTGCCCTAACTGACCACCACGTGTAAATGATGACATGCGGTTGCCCTAACTGACCACCACGTGTAAATGATGACATGCGGTTGCCCGCCGGTCTGAACCTGTCCCTTGACCCGTCACCGAAGGTTATCCAGTGAGAGTGTGATTCCACTAGTATTAAGACAGCGGATAAACTGAGCAAGACAAGACGACAGCACAGCACGCCAACCTACGTTCCTATGCGACGGTGGCATCAGGAGAATGGACGCGAGCAGATTGGCACACCAAGTCTCTCCCGCGCAGAGTCCAGTCAAGCGCAGCAGATGATAGGATAGTGTGCAGGACCTGTGCACATGAGGACAAGTGAAAAAAATCAAACATCAACCCATTTAAGGCTTTAGGCCATAGCACCCAGGCTCTGCACTCCTTATTTGGCATTGAAAAAAAGACGTATATATATACGTCCTCAGCGCCTGGGCATCATTTTCAATGACGTATATACGTCTTTAGCGCTGAATGGGTTAAGGAGTACGCATAACAAGCATAGGCATCAATGCAAAAAGCAGTGCCAGTGGTGTGGATCGCTGGATCTAGAGGTTTTTCGTAGACGGCGGCAAAAAAAAATAACAGCAGGGCACACTCGGAGTTGAACCAAGGACCTCTCGATCTGCAGTCGAATGCTCTACCACTGAGCTATATGCCCTCCACGCTTTACTATGGCGAAAGAGTAGAACCATGAGAGCTGGTGCCGTGGTACCCACACAACAATATCAAGGTGCACTGAAAAATCACGATCAACCGACCACACGGCCGCGTACAAACTGCTCCTATTCTTTACACTGTACGCATTTGCACAATCATATCATGCCAGAATGGATATGCAGTGGAGTTCTCAAAGGCTAAAAGCTAAGTCAAGCGTACAGATCACATTTTGCCTTGGGCACACGTGATCAAGAACACATAAGCCAGAGTCTGCAACCCCACATCTACTGCAAAAAGTCAACAAACTCACTCCCACTGTGAGTTCATAGTTCATATTTTTCATAATGACCTTAAAAAAGGTCATTTTGAAAACATGAATCATAGGATATCCCAGCACACTACAGTAGGTTGAGTGCCAAACCACCGACCACCGTACCACTTATGGTCATAGCTCACAACGGGATTTAGTATGCATTTGTCACCTATTGCACGGCAAGCAGCAATGCACAACAGGAAATAGCTTGGTGGTTAGGGAAAATGGCCATGCCAACTGGTACGGGATGCTGCGAAGACGAGAAACTATCTATGGCCTAGACAAAAAGCTTTTGCCATGGGTTCGCTCTGCGGGAGTTGCCCACTCCGGCACTTGTACTGCTGCCGTGATGGCTGCTTGCTTTCAATTTCTTTCTTATGGTACCGGACAGTCCCAGGAAAATAAAATTGAGACCAGGACACACCAAACAGATGCACACCTGGCCTAGCATAGTGTAGTGCACGAGGTGCAAACATTTTTAACGACAACAGGAACAAAAAAAGAACAGCAGGGCACACTCGGAGTTGAACCAAGGACCTCTCGATCTGCAGTCGAATGCTCTACCACTGAGCTATATGCCCTCCACATTGTGTACACGGGGAAAAGTAGATTACATGCGCCACAATGAGAGATCGGTGTGAATGCAAGATAGGATGCAGCCACACCAGTCGCAACGGTCCACATCACATACCAGGGAGGTTTAGTCCCACGTAATCCGTGTGTACTTTACGTGTGTGTACCACGTGATACCCAGTGACCCACCACGTACAGACGTTTCCTGATTCACGACATACCGTGTATGGTTCCGCCAGAACGTGGGTGAAAATCAGAACGGAGCGCATTGTGCAAGCTGTGAGGGTGCTCAGCTGAAGAAGTTTCCGAAAGCACGAAATCAAAAGATTCGATGAGCTTCGAAGCTTTGTCTTCGACCAAGTTTGGGCCTTTCGCTTCATGCTTTTGTTTGTGCCGCGTGACTAAAGACAACATTGCGAACGTGGGTCAATTGCATGAACTTTACGTGTATCACCCACGTTCCCGTATCCGTTACGTGGGACTAAACCTCCCTATTGGTGAGGCCACGTAAGAGCCGAGACGTGGGTGCATTCGGCATTGCATGAAGCATTTGTTCTGAACTGCACGCATTGCCCAGTGAAATGGAACAGTCGTAGGGAAACAAATGTTGCCACATACAGTAACAGTAACGGAATCTGTCCGCCTAAATAAGTAGACCTACGAGATAACATTTGCACCGAGTGTATCTCTTAAAATAAATAAAAACGTGCAGCTTCTATAATTTGTTGACCTCAGAACAAAGCAACACAAGTTATTTTCATGTTGAGTGCAGCCGAATATTTCACGCCAATGCCCATGTGGTACACAGAGATTTCCCTCAGGTAGGATGTGTTTACATGAGGCGTTTCAACCCGGGTCAAGTTTCAACCCGCCATGAACACAGATTGACTGGCGCGCTTGACCCGGGTTGATTTCAACCCTCCCCTTGGGGGGGGAGGGTTGAAATAGAGAAATTTTACTGCCGTACTTCTGTGCGTATCTCGCGCCAGGTTTGAACAGCACTGCTCAGGCAAATTTCGCGCGAAAGTATTCACGTGACGATACAGGACTCTTGAAGTGGACTTTTGGCGGCATATCAGTATTTGCCCTGGGTCAACTGTCTTCATGTGAACACCCACCTACTTTTTTCATCGTACAGACTTTCAACCCGGGTTGAAAATTCTCATGTAAACGCAGCCTTAGAAATAAACCCACGCCGCCTGTGCATGTGTGTTCCATACCAGTACCAGAAGGCTGTGGAGCTTGCATAGAACCTGTGTTCAAGGATGGTCGGACATTTCGGAGATTCACTGGCGGAAAACACACCTTCAAAACAAAACGGTGAGGTGCAAACCAGGCTAAAAGAGTTGCAGACAATTCTTCAGCCTTGCTACAATGTAGCGTTTGGGTGATGCAATCCTGGCAAAAGTTGCTATGGTCTTTGCTGTAGCAACGCTGTCATCGCCTCGGAAGTATGGTACGTCAGATGCACGTTTTTCATCAATCGAGATAAAAAAGATTACAGAAGGGCACACTCGGAGTTGAACCAAGGACCTCTCGATCTGCAGTCGAATGCTCTACCACTGAGCTATATGCCCTCCACACTTTGCTCTTGGGAAAAAAAAATAGATAACCACCATGAGAGGTCAGTCAGGATATTCACAAGAAATCACAGACGAGAAAGTAAGCAGCAGCACTCGGCCCTTTGAAATTCTGCGTTGAAGTGGACGCAAAATCACAGACATGCTCAGTAAAAGATACGGTATGAGTGCAGAAGTGTGACTAACCGCATGGAAGGGTCTTCTGGCAGCACTCGCTTCAACAGGAACTGGTCAGCAGAGCGCAGGGTGAGCAGAATAGCAGGAATGTCGTCACCAGTGCTGCTGGATCCACGCCAGGCAATCTGCTTTGTCACACTGTACTGAAGGTTAGCGATGAAGTGTTCCTGTCATGCACACACACACACACACACACACGTGACACACACACACACACACACACATGACACACACACACATGACACACACACACGCACACACGCACACACACACACACACACACACACGTTTATTACATGTGTACAGTGTGCCGATGAAATAACAAGTCAACAGGAAAGAAGTCCTGATGTTCGCTGTTCCGACAGGCTACGCATCCATGCACAAAAGGAGAGTAACTGGACCATTCCACAGAGAGACAGAACTGATCACAAACAAAACGACTACATTTCAACTCTCGAGTCTTTCGACCATACTGATCCTTCTTTAGAATCTTTACACATTCATACGACTACCCAAACACAAGCCATATGAAGCCTCCTACCCGGAGACAAAAGGCAGCACCATACACCTTAGCACAGTACACAAACAAGCTGGTGTCTCAGCCATCACATAATTATGTACTACAGTACTGTAGGGCGACAAAGAACGGAGCGCCGAAGAACGGCCAGGCTAGGATTTCACCATGCACAGCATACCAATGTATACACAGTGACTCAACTGCGCATAGACTGTAATACAGGAACAGAAGAACGGCCTAGTCTAGCCTAGGAGGCTGACCCCCCCCCCCCAGTTCTTTGGCGACTGACAGTACTGTATAGTAGTCTATCGCAGCCTTTGAACGTAGGTGGTATCTGAAACCGGGCTGACCGTTGATGATTCTACACTCACTCGGTGCCAGGGGATAGTGGTGTTACATACCCAGTGGCTGCTCGACTACTGTAGGCTTCTCCTGTGCGCAGGGACTGCATACAACCTAGATTAGAAACAGTATTGCACAACGACTACACACTGAGCGGACTAAACACTCACCAGGAACTGATAAAGCGCTTGCTGGGCGACTGGCGGCAGAATGTCTACAACTGTAAGTCAATGAGGAGAAAAAAAGAAAAAAAGAAGAAAGAAATCACCTCTGACTGGTCCTGGTATAGAAAGAAAGAAAGAAAGCTGAGAGAAGCAGTTCAGAGCACTGCAGCTACATCAAACACTTTGTGACAGCAATTCAATGATCAACAATAGCACTCTTGCGTGGGGTAGTGCCTTTGCTGTTTGCGTTATGCAGAGCTCACTGACTTGTCAGTTTGAGCACTCTGGCAAGGTACGTTCGGGCCTGATTGGAAATTTTTATTTCCATTGCTATCAGGTTCGGCCTCATTTCCTCTGTGCTGCGCTGACGAGTCCACAAAGGACGAAACAGTTCTGTCCGCAGATTGAGTATTTCGCTCCTGCTCTTGTAGCAGTTGAGCACTCTTGCGTGGGGTAGTGCCTTTGCTGTTTGCGTTATGCAGAGCTCACTGACTTGTCAGTTTGAGCACTCTGGCAAGGTACGTTCGGGCCTGATTGGAAATTTTTATTTCCATTGCTATCAGGTTCGGCCTCATTTCCTCTGTGCTGCGCTGACGAGTCCACAAAGGACGAAACAGTTCTGTCCGCAGATTGAGTATACTGTACTATGTATATTACACAGTATAAGTACAAGTATGAATATTTGTGCACAGCGCTACCAGCAGAACTGATCAAGCCAGCTGAAGATGGACTGACCAAGAAACACTACTGCACCTACACAAATCATTGGCAACACAGTTACACTCTACATCCACCACACATGTCTTGGTATCAAACACATGCAGTGCTGCCAAATAATTTTCGCCCAAAATCGGACACCCTTCACCGCCAAGGCTGGCCACATGGTGCGAATCTTTCTCCTCGGGCAAATTTTTTACAGAGAATTCAAAATATCGCCTAAAACACCATGAAAAATCGCTCCGTTGCCATGGTAACCCCAGAGTTGTCATGAATTTTGTAATGATGATTGTGGTCGCACACTGACTCTGTACAGACTGTCAGTGTACATGCCATCCAGCCTGATCCAGGCATGTTACTTTGCACTTCCACAGCCGGCTAGCCAAGCGCTAGCCTTTTTAGAAGCAAATGTACAGTGATGTGTGCCTTCAGTTGCGCTGAAAAGTGAAAGTACAGGACTTCTGCATAGGAAAGTAATGATCTCCGACATTTTGGCTGCTTTTCGGACGTTTCCCTTTTCGGACCGGTTTTCGGAAGAGCCTTCAAAAATCGGACACTGTCCGAAAAATCGGACGGTTTGGCAGCACTGCACATGCCCGGCTGACTGGAGTGATCCGGCCAATACCTGGCTAGTTACCCTTGCAATACGCTGCCAACACAACCCACACGCGAATAGTCCACTATTAAGAAGCACACTAGAGCATGTTGCTGACCTAGCTCATTCGGCGTTACCAGCTGGAACAAGAATAGAAGAGTGGGCTCGAGGCTGGAGCGCAGCTGCTTCAGCAGACTATGAATGTTCTCTGCTTCCCTGCAACACACAACAAGAGTGGGATACAGTCACAGGGCAAAGGTCAGTTAATGATGACACGGTTCAAGCAGGATGCATGGTATCTGCTTGTAGCAGCTAACAAGCTAGTAATGCTGTCAGTAGAACAAACCTCCAATACTCTACCAGCGGGCAATCACCCCAATAACACACTTTCCTAATCAGAAGCAATATCTCGACCCAACACTGACCAAGACATACAACTGAGTGTCAAGTCAGAAAGAGGGAGGCATATTTCAGAGGGGAGAGAAAAGGACAATGTGTGAACAGCACTGCGTGCAGAACGGGAAGCTGCAAAGTTGAGGCACAGCGCGAAAGAAAAGCTGCAATTTATCAGCTCGCAATGAAGGCTATTCTCGGTCTATGTGTATGCACTGTATGGTAGCAACTACATATTGCATGTTGTGATCACAGACATGCTTCGCATCATAGTAGACACATGTGCCGTGTCGTATGAGCTAACCAGCGCTAGAATCACGCTCCTAGCTGCTCTTACTTCAGTTGTGGCCACTTGGTTGAGCGCGTTATGTACTGTTCATACATAACCTTGACCACATCTGGTGACACTATCAACGCAGAGGCACAGGCAGACAGCACAAATGCATAGAAACAGACGATAGAAAGAGAGCCCTAAGAACTAGAGTCACACAGATCCAGACGAGTACTAAGTGTTAGTTAGTACCCTCAGCCCTGGCACCTACGATGGTCTCCATGGTAACTATGGCGCCTTTCTCTACACATGGTACCAACAGGTAATCCCAACTGTCCGACCTCAACTACTTCTGAGATTTTGAGTACATGTACAGTGTACCGTAAAGTACCGTAAAGCACTGCGAGAGCGCCCCGTCTCGCCAAAGTGCCCCACTTTGATTTTACAGACAGAGAAAGGATGAAAAAACGTACGGCAGAGTGCAAGTAAGTTTTTACGGTGCGAGAATCGTAACGTACTAAGGTCACATTTAGCATTACCTTGTGCGGAGGTCACATCCGCTCAAAGACAAACTGAGTATGAATTGACTGCACAACGTGCATACACAGTATGTGTCGTATGACCTGTAGACAGGACAGCACCTCCACAGCACGACCACGAATGGGAGGTAGTGGCGGGGTGCTCTCTGGGTACAAAGAGTATACTCACAGCAAGCAATGACGTCGCTGAGGACCAAGTGCAGAAGCTGCGGACACTCAGACGCCAGGTGAAGCAGGTACGGCACGGTGAGCATCTGCTGCTCTTCTCTGCCAGGCGATGGTATAAGGCTAGCCTGCAGTTCACAGCAGAATGCACAGGACAACAACGAAAGACTGATGTGATGCATACCGCATTCACCCACATACAAGTGCATGCCCTTATATGCGAAAAGTGCGTTTTTTTCCATTTCGCCAGGAAACAAAATTAATGTTCCAGATACAAGGGCATGCCTTTCGATACGAGTACATGTATTCAAGTCTTTAAAGGCGCCCTTGTATTCGAATACAGGTGGAATCCTGATAATTCGAATATAGCTTAATTCGAACGTACCGCATAATTAGAAGTTTTTCCAGGACCGATTTCTATCAATACGATTCCCACATAACAATTTCTGATAATTCGAACCTTGAACTGGACATGTTCGGTTAATTAGAAGTCCCACGGATTCCACTTACATAGAAAATGTGTGGGATTTGTGCTGATAATTCGAAGTTAGCAAAGTGTAATTCGAAGTTCACTGTACACTGTACTGGTCAGTTCAGTTTGCATGAGCAGGCTGTGCTGGCCAGTTCAGTATCCGTGAAATCGGTGTCTAAGGGCCATAGCGCAACTCTGCGTGACCATGGGAGCATTTTGACATACATATTGTATTGTGGGTTCATGTTTGGATAATTAGAATGTCGATAATTAGAAGTTTTTTCCTTGCATTTTGAGGTTCGAATTATGAGGATTCCACCTGTATAAGTGTGTGCTCTTTTACACGCGTGAATACGGTACGCCCGTAAAGCAGGGAACGACCAACACAGCTCATTCCTCATTCAGCAGACAAGTTGACACAACAAACTGAATCTACAGTCACCAACAACATACTTCGAAGTATATGTAACATGCTTCACTCGTAGCCTGAGCAGATAGATCGTGCAAACGGACCAGAAGGCAGAGATAGATAGATAGATAGAGAGAGAGAGATCTCAAAGTGCCGAGAGCCGGAGTTTGCTGGAGCGCGCAAAAGAGGAGAACGTACCTTGAAGAAGTCCACCACGGCGCTCCTCACTTCACTGGCATGCTGTCCGAGCAGGTAGGTCAGGATCTGAATAACTGCCGTGGAAACACTGTCATTGGCCAGAGACATGACGGGCGACACACTGCGTGAGTTGGAACCTCTCGCTGGCTGCAGAACACGCAGGTCATGCCCGCCACCAGTGCTGGACGACGACGACGCGGGTAGCTCGGCGTGGAAATCACGCAGGCCGCTACGCAACAGGGCGGGCACGAGCGAGGACGAGAACATTCCCCTGCGTAAGCAGTTCAAACCGGTGCGTACAGGAACGTATACGCAGACGTGCACATACACACATGCACGCAGACACAACAAACACGTAATACGAAGTTAGCTTCCCGTTTAGCCATAGACTACGAGTACTGCTTCTATATGGGGTTACTACTAATCTACAGACTCGAATCAGTAGATACGGTGTGTGAGCACTTCTACTGCATAACAAATTCTATAGAAGAGAGAGAGGGGGGGGGGGGGGGGTGTTCCAACTCCGAGTTTCACGCAGTCACGATCATCAGGCAACTGATGCCTCCAAAACGTGAAACTCGGAGTTACAATACAGCCCCCCCCCCCTCTCTCTCTCTCTCTCTCTCTCTCTCTCTCCCTTTCTCTCTTGTGTGGAAGGCTCTGCCCTATATGGGTATTAAGCACTCTTCGAGCAGTGGAGCACGCTTCTTGATTACGTAATAAACTCTATACGTCTGTCTCCAAGCTGTAGCCTCCCATGTCTTGCCAGACACGGCGGCTGTCATCACACTTACGCTGCAAGAGCTAGCATCCAGTCGAGATGAGGCGAAAGTGCCCGGACAGCCATGACTAGATCGTGAACACACGCCACTGGGTCCTGCTTCATTCTGCAATCGTCAACGTGCACACATGCATAAACACACACCAATACATGTTGGATCAATAAATCAGCAAACTAATTCCTTTGAAAAAAAAAGCCAAACATCATAGCTCAGTGGTTACTAGAGTACATGAAAACCAGAGCGTGCAGCTCGGATGGGTTGCGGTCACGGTGAAATTCCGTGATTACATCATTTTAGTGATGTGGTGCGTACAAGCAGGATTCAAGCAGGCCTCTTTCTGCACAACTGCAGGTCAGTTGTACGCACTACGCCACTTCCCGTCTCAGATCTGCACCGAATATGATGTAATCACGGAATTCCGTCGTGACAGACACCCATAGTAGAAAAAGCCCCAAGCTGCACACTCTGGTTTTCATGTACTCTTGCCAGTCTTGGTGGTTAGAGCATCCTCCAGCGAAGGTCCCTGATTCGAGTCCTGGTACTGTTGTGATAGTAATTTTTTTCTTCAGACTTTTCTTGCTTGCATCTTTCCCTCACACCAGTGAATATGAGAAGTGAATATTCATATATAGACAGGTATTACTGGGCATGAAGAGGGTTTTCTTCAACAGACAATTCTCTTTGCGATGGTGACCCAACAGTACAGGCAGGTAGAGTCAGCGTCACAGTGCTGCTTCCACCTACCTTTGCGACATGCTGCGCACGGCAACATCCAGTACAGGAGCAGTGGGCGAGCAGGACCGCCAGTGAGCAATGCGATCAGACACCATGTTACCGGTCTCGTCATTGCTACCTGTGGTTCAGCCAGATATGTGCAAGGCGCAGACATAAGCAAACAAATACACACACACACACACATGCGCACGTGCGCGCGCGCACACATACACACAAATTGACACGGAGGCACAAATCATGTGATAAAGAAGGAGCATGGCCAAACCATATATATTGTAGGCCCTACACATCCTATGTATGCTATCCTGGCAGTACTCCTACTTCTCTCTGATGGAGACTTACGTGCATCATACATACTTTCGAAGTAGATCTTTCTTGCCCACAATACAATTCATACGAGAGAAGCTTCCAGACGGAACTGATGGACCGCTAGTGACTCAGGCTTATCAATGCTGCTTAGGTACAACTGTACTTGTTACGGTCCAGTACAGAGGCAAAGAAGTGCAAAGACACTTGCCAGCATGCACGGATTGAAGCACATTCTCCTCCAAGCATGCCTGCATATGTACTTGTGCCCCCCCCCCCCCCACACACACACGCGCACGCACACACAAAACACATGCATATAAGCACGGCCACGCGTACCTGGATGATTGTAGGATACCTCGCCAAGGACACACAGAGACCACTGGAGAAAACCAAACAAAACAGGCAAAGATGGAGGCAACACTGGTAAGCAAGAACAGAAAGTCAAGCGAGATCAAGCACAATGCGAAAAACACTAGTGAAGATGCCGGATAGGTAGCAAGTGGTGGGACAATTTGGTACCAGAGCTCAGCACAATAATCGTTGGCAATGTGGACCTGGAATAATGCTTTGCCCCAGCACCACAAAACCGTCGGTGCAATTGGGTGAGTAAAGAAATATGGCGAACTACGCTACACAGTGCACAGGCCATACCTCAAACAAAATCCCGGCCCACGTGGACATGTTAGAGTCCAGCTGCTTGAGAATGGTCTCGCAGGCAGCCTGAATCGACGCCACAAGCTCTGCCTGTGCGTCTCGGTCCGTGTGCTCTGGCTGTAAAGGAATACAAGAGGAGCACACACCCAAAACACATCCTCAACATGTAAGAGCTCTGCTACTCTGCGCCACAACACTGCATGAAGCTGCACGAACAACTATGGCATCGGGAGAGTGGACGAAACTTAGAAGAAACAAAGCCATCACAGCGACATTGAATGATCTTGGAACATAATGCAGCACATCATTCCAGTTTTAAAAACTGCAAAACTCTGGGAATCTGCCACCTTCTACTACCCCTAAAGCTTCTAAGACTAAACCTGGAGACCTGGGCTAACGACAGGTTGCAGCAGGTAATGCTAGGAAGCCATTGCGGATAACTACAAGCATCAGAGGGGGGAAGCATCAGAGGGGCACTCCTCACCTTCAGCTCGGCTGTAACCGCTTTTCCAATGGACACGGCCAGTTGTGCCAGCGCAGCCTGGCGTAAAGAAGGTAGCCCAAATAGGACAGCAGTTGCATGATGAACAACCTCGGCTGGAGAGTTCTGTTCCGGCGAGAAGCAGGCAACTGCCTCGAGATCGGTCAGCTGTGGATAGTAGTAACAATACCATACACGAAAGAAAGAAAGAAAGAAAGGGAGAGAGAGAGAGAGAGAGAGAGAGAGAGAGAGAGAGAGAGAGAGAGAGACACACACACACACACACACACACACACACACACACACACACACACACACACATACACAGAGCAAGAGACAGAGCGTTCCTCAACCATAACATTTCTTATAAATACATGCATTGACAGCAAGGGCTGTAAGGTGTACATGTAAGACCAAAAAGAATATACCGAACATTCTATAACTATTCGTTTGCCAGGTACATTTATATTTCAAGTGTTCGTTACAAGATGTACTCGTTCTGAGTCTAAATCCGTTGTAGTGCAGCCGCGTACTTGCTTTCATCTTAGCTTCCACCAACGTAACACGCAAATGTGCCTACGCTTGAGAGCCTGAATCAGTATACTACATGTATTTTGTTCTGTTTCAGTTAGTGTGTTACACTGTACTAGAATTTACTTTTCTCTGTGAAGGAGATGTCCATGCTAGAATTTCAAATATCCAATACTGTATTCTGTACAGGCACAGAACTAATTTATCAAATCTTCATCTTGTGATCATCGGACTAAATCACTCTTAGGGAACGGACATCATGCAGTGTACGCTACGTTTGGACTGTATCATAAATTCATAAGAAGGCTCTCCACAGCAGGAACGCCAACAATATTTGGTTTCGAAATCGAATACGACTACAAAAAGCCAGTCTGCCATTCTCACCATGACTTTCGTTTTCCAGTTCCCACGATAGAAATGAAGTGAAAATTCTCCTCCGAAATTAACGCCGGCACCGCCCTCTACGAAAACGACATAGTGCTCTGTTGATGGTCACCGAGCTATTAGCCAATTTTCGAATTCAGTACTACAATGCACTCAAACAGAAAACAATTATTTAAAAAAAAGACCTGCGGAACATCCGACAGCTGAGTTGAAGGAAGATAATGATTGTACTTCTTAGGAAAATCTAAAAATACGATGGCTGAACTACAAGGGCTCCTGTTACTGTAGCAGAGAGTAGTAGTTTCAACGACTTCGAAAAGTCGAAAGGACACTTTCAAAAAGAACAACTCAAATCTCGATCTCATGGAATGAGACTGTGACTCTAGCTCTGTGATCACTGGTGATTGTGGGATGAGCTCATGAGCTGAGAATGAAGCTGACATGATGCAAGTAATGGATCAGGGGCACATGCACAGCTAGCTAGCGCTATAGCATGCATGCGCACGCCAGAACAGAAAATCCATGGTAACACATTATGGCGCGCGATGTTGCATCTTTTTCAGCTTTTTTTGCAGCTCGCACATATCCCGATGATTTTTTGCTTTTGCCAGTTTGGATCATGGATGTTCTAGTTCTACGCGTATACTGTACGTGGTCTGTAAAAAAAAGTAGCAATTTGGCTCCACGGCCACCAGCAGAGTGAGAGGAAGAATCCCTTCTTGAACGTGAGGTTTGATAAGATCATTTTGACTATCAGTATGTGGACTTGATTTTCCAGACATGCCTTTTGGGCAAGTAGTCGTAGGCCCGCCGGGCTCGGGCAAGACAACGTACTGCAAAGGTATGAAAGACTTCTTGGTGTCTTTAGGCAGAAAAGTTGCAGTCGTAAATCTCGATCCTGCCAATGAATCTCTACCTTACGAACCCGATATTGATGTGAATGAGCTGATCAACTTGGAAGATGTCATGGCGAGGTTGAAGCTTGGACCCAACGGCGCTCTCATGTACTGTATGGAATTTCTTCAAGAAAACGTCGCCTGGCTTGTGGACCAACTTGCAAAGCATAAGAATGCTTACTTTCTATTTGACTTTCCTGGTCAAGTGGAACTGTACACCCATCATACGTCAGTCAGTTCTATATTGGAGAAGTTACAAAAGCTCGAATATCAGGTAAATACCTAGAGGAGCAGGGATGAGTGGGTAAATGCCCCAAGCTGGCCCCTGTTATGGACGTGTAGACTGTGACATGCCAACCAAGTCTGTTTGCCTTGCACTTTTGTTGCAGTAAAACCTGCATGTGACAGCCAGCATAATGACTAATCAGAAGTTGAACAATTTGCAAAACATGCAATGAGTTACATTGTGGACTTTATAGTTCATCTTTTATCATTTATTCATTAGTTGAGGGGTGGATCCTCATTTACTTCCTGTGTTCACAGCTCGTCGCTGTTCACTTGGTAGATGCCCACTATTGCACCGACCCAGGGAAGTTCATTGCCGTTGTGCTGACATCACTCAACACAATGCTGCAGCTTGCCTTGCCGCACGTTAATGTCCTGTCGAAGATTGACCTCATTGAGAAGATGGGCAAGTTAGGTGAGGAACCTGGCTTACACTGAAATGGCATGCTGTTATGGTGACGTGTGAGTCGAGCTGCCTTTGTGTTGTTCTTGCTTCCTAGTTTCATAGCCAGGTGTTCATTGCTGACAACCAAGGTCTCATATTCTCTTACCTATTAGCTCTTCATGCCTAACCTAGATATTTTCATCCACCGGTATCGTAATACAATGAGTGGTTCACATCTTTTTTGATGTGACTAAACTTGTGCAGAAAGTGATCATGGCATGTGGACAGTGGAACCAACATGGCCGACGTCATGTGACCCATAGATGCAGGGGCTGAGTGGAGTTGGAACCAACATGGCTGCCATGTATGGTCATGCGATAGAAGTGCAAGCACTCAGTGTGCTTGTGTGTTATTTATCTTCGTGTGCACCTCCCCTACTCAGCGTTCGGCCTGGACTTCTACACTGAAGTACTGGATCTGTCCTATCTGTTAGAGCATTTACGGAATGACCCATTCATGCGCCGCTTCCATGATTTGAATGAGAAGATTGTGGAGCTCGTTGAGGACCACTCGCTAGTCACCTTTACCACACTGGATATTCAGGTTAGTCGTGTGTGTGTGTACAGCTTTTCTGGTTTGTCTGCTGGTCGTTCTTGGCTTTATACACTCCCTCCTAGACCTCTGAGCACTTGCTTCATACTGTAAATATACAAAATTTCGGCACTTCACGAATTTTGACATTTCGGCGGCGATTTATTTTCGGCGTGGGGTAGAGGCGCTAGTATAGTGCGACAGATGCTGTGAAAAATTTCATCGGCGTTTTAATTTAGGCGTTTTGGGTCGGTGCCGAATATAGCCGAAATTAAATAGCTGCCGAAAATTTGTATATTTACAGTATCTAGTTCATACAAATGATACAATGCATTCTCAACTCATGAATATACTTTTTGTTGGTACTCGTGTCGTGTTATCACATATGTTTGCAGTCAGGGTTTTTTACTGTGCACTTTTTCAGGTGAGTGAAAATTGTATGAGGAACTCCATTTTTCACTCATGGGCATCAGGACCCAAAGACGTGGGAAAGGAAAATAAACTGTGTGTGTGTGTGTGTGTGCGTGCGTGTGCCAATAGATATTTTGTAAAACTAAGCATCTGAAAAGTGTTGCGATCTAGTGCTACAGCACCATAATGTTGTGTGTAGCGTTTGCTAAATGTCTCTCTTTCCCTTTGCTATGCAGGACATGGAGAGTGTGAGCTCTGTTCTCAAGCTGGTGGACAAGGCCGGCGGGTATGTGTTTGGTGAAGGCGAGGCGCGCAACATCCAACTGATGCAGTCGGCGATGACAGCAGATGTCAACTATGTACAATATCCTCTCCTTTGCGTAACTTATGCTGTTAGTGTGATATGTCTTCATAGGTTGCTGTCAGGTACAACGTGGGTCTTCTTCGGGAGAAAAAAAAGTAGCGATTAGTATTGTGGATATGCGCTGAACTTGCTATAGGTAGCTCAATCTGAGACCGCCTGGAGGATTTGAATGCCTGTATCCATAGCATGTACAGGGGCTGTGGCTGTGATGTGACTTTCCATTGATGTCTGATCTTGTGCCTGGCTTGAGCTCGGCTGTGGGTGCGTTCTCCTCCCGACCACCCGTATCGGTGCAGGGATGGCTAACACACTACATCTGTGCTCGCTGGCACGGACTCATGACTGAGATTCAATCTTCTCTCTGAGCCACAACTATTCCCCCCCCACACACACACACACCACCACACACACACACACACACACACACACGCTCTCTCTACAGCAGGGAGACGATGTATTGTATGGCAAGTGATTCAGGGAAGGGCTGGTTGTTTTCGAATAAAATTCAGCATCTCTGCATGCTCATATCTTGCTGAAGATAACATAACCAGACTGCTCCTTGACCCTGAGTGTGTACGACTGGTGCTGCTCGAGAGAAGCACACCGCGAGCGGCAGGTCTGTGGATCCCCTCACAGCAGATGTCGTTGAGCAGCTAATGGACGATAGCTGAGCCAGAACACCGTCCATCATGAAGCGTTAACGTCTTCAGCCGGAAAGCAGCAGCCCGCCGAAAGTCAAAGTGCTTGTGCTCTTCGTAGTAGAACCCAGTCGTATGTATTGTACGTACTACCAAGGCAGACTGCACTCAGGACTCCTTTGTAGTCAGTCATTGGAGGATAGCACCCTTGCCAGGCCTGAATGCTCCCATAAGCTGGTGCAGAGTAAGCTAAAAAAAAAAAAGTTTGAAGGACTCTATTGCTGGCTCAGCATCCGTGTGTTGCCGTACCAATGCATTGTACATGCCCTCTCATCTTCTACACTGATTCAACTCTTTAGTGACTTTACTTCAACGGTGTGATCTGAGCACTCGACGAGCAATCAGTACTGCAAGAAAGTGAACTCGCTAAAATACTACCAGGGCAGACTGCACTCGGAACTCCTTTGTAATCGGTCATTGGAGGATTGCACCCTTGCCATGCCTGAGTGCTCCCATAAGCTGGTGCAGAGTAAGCTAAAAAAACAAATTTGAAGGACGCTATTGTTATTGCTGGCGCAGCATCTGTGTGTTGCCGTACCGATGCATTGTACATACATGCCTTCATCTTCTACACTGATTCAACTCTTTAGTGACTTTACTTCAACTGTGATCTGAGCACTCAGTGCTGCAAGAACTCGCTAAGATGTTTTTTTTTTACACACAATCTAGTACCTTTACTCTCTCTCTCCTCTCTCTCTCTCCTCTCTCTCTCTCTCTCTCTCTCTCCTCTCTCTCTCTCTCTCTCTCTCTCTCTCTCACACACACACACACACACTTTTTTTATATTGGTACTTGATTCGTTGCATTTTTGGTTCAATGGTCTTGCGGGCAAGAATTGTGTTGTTTTTTTTCTTCTCTTTGTGTTAATTTCCCATGTATGCTCTTCTTCGGGCATAGCGGCACATTCTGTGCTTCCTACACTGCATTATTATACCAGAATGATATGGTGGAAATCCCAAATTATGTGCATATTAAATTTTGACAGGTACTAGGTATGCGTGAGAATTGCCTTATAATGCAGGCTACTCAAAACAGCCTGTCGGTGTGAGTTCTTAGCATTTCGGGCAGAGTTGAGCATGTCTTGCTGGTCACAATACAGAACCCGCAAAGTGCCAAATATCAAGAGTACATGAAAACCAGAGTGTGCAGCTTGGGGCCTTCTCTGCTATGGGTGTCTGTCACGGCGAAATTCCGTGATTACATCATATTTGGTGCAGATCTGAGGCGGGAAATGGCGTAGTGCGTACAACTGAGCCGCAGTTGTGCAGAAAGAAACCTGCTTGAATCCTGCTTGTACGCACTACATCACTAAAATGATGTAATCACGGAATTTCGCCGTGACAGCAACCCATCCGAGCTGCACACTCTGGTTTTCATGTACTCTTGCAAATATGCAATCATTTATTATCACTATGTGAGCCAAGCTGGGAAGTGATTAGTTCGCCACAGCGTCAAACACTGGTGCATATGTACTGATTTTCTATACAGCTGTGCTCTGTGAAATCCAATCCAGGGTGCATATTTGGCACACTCAACTTACACGGTCCACGATGCTATGAATGCAGTTGGACGCAGTCACACACATGTACAACACCAGGAGTCCAGAATCCCGGGGGGGTTGTGGACTCTTGACAACACACATTGAAGTAATCGGAACCAGGGAGTCAACAAATACGGGTATTTGACGACTCCCTGGTCTGGGTGTCAGTTCTGCACTTGTCTTTGGACAGGGAGCAGTAAAATACTTATTTTACTACTCCCTGCTTTGGGTTGTGTCAAGAGTGCATAACCAAATATGTACTCTTCCTTGGTTGTATTTCACCGAGTACCAATGTAGTTTACTGGGCCGCTTTATCAGTCACTCCAGGACTTGCTAACTTTCTTTGCGATTGAGCCAGGGAGTTGAGCGAATACGAATAACTCCCTGCAATGTTTGGGCAGCACTCACATAACAGCCATTGAAGAATCCTAGAGTGTACGGCTCTGCTCATAAGAATACGAGCAGGGAGTCCGGGTGGAAAGTTTTCAACCGTGAACAGAACTGTATGTGTGTGTGTGTGTGTGCGTGCAACCATGCAAATTGTTCAGAGAAAAGTAACGCACACACACACACACATACAGTTCTGTTTGCGCGCAGACACACACAGGTACACCAGAACTGGAGTATCGTCACTCACAGGTAAATCGACTGCAACCAAGAGTATAAGCTCTTGCTGTAACGTTATTGGTTGATTCCTGCAAACGGCATGGATTCCTCGACCGAAAGAAAGTTGAATAGATGATCAGACATGCTTGCTTGGTGATTACTCTAGGATCACTGCAGTCCACAAAAAAAGAAGATAAAATAGAAGGATCATGTTCTGCGGTGCCAATGGGCGCTTTGGAAATGGCGGCACGATAGAAAATATTGCGGCGAAAATTGAACACAGTGCCTGTGGCAAGATTTGTTTACAACAAGTCTTATCTGAAAAATAATATACCGAAATAGGGAAATTCAAGTGACAGTAAAAGCGATATTCCTTGTGATATTCAAGGCAGCCATTAGTCGTATAAGAAAGCACTGTGGAAGCATATCTGCAAAATAGAAAAAAAGCTGTAGAAATTAAAGACCAAAGAAGTAAAGAGCACAGCTTACATACTGTGTTCCGACTCGACTTGATAGCGAATGGTATGGCAAGAGCACAGGCTCGTGAAGGACGTCAACAAGTCAGCTGCCAGCCAGTGAGTGTGCATTGATACGGAGAGGAGGACAGCGCGGGTTCATGTGGACAAGACCTCCAGCAAGTCTACGCACGCACCGCCTATGCCTCCTCGTCGTCATTTTCAAACTCAGCGAGACTGTCGTCGTCGTCGTTGTACAAAATAAAGCTGCGGACGAGGTTGCGAGATGGCGCCCGCCGGCCCTTGGCACCAGCCGCGCGTTGTCTGGTCAGGTGAATGAGTGAAGAAGTACGGTGAAGACCACCACCCTGCTGACTATCACTGCTTTCACTGGCACAAGTAAAGGATTGACTTCGTGCAATTCCGTCGGTGCTATCCGAAGTCTCGTCTCCACGTGCTTCGGCCTGCGCTTTCTTCTTCTTGAGAGCAGCGAGGCCGCCCGGGGGCATTGCCCCGAATGGCATAGCACCCATGCCGGGCATTCCACCCATACCAGGCATTCCACGGAGATTCTTGGCAAGGTCTTTGACAGCCGGCCGAGACGACCCGCTATCCTGATCAGCACTGGATGCTGGCGGTGCGGGCGAACGCTTGATCGGGGGCATGCCCATTCCCGGCATAGGTATTGCCATCCCCTTGAGGGAAGATGATAGCTTGCCGACGCCTTTCGGCTTCTCTGAGCTACCGGGGCTCACAGGTGATGGCATTGGTGCCGTCGCTAGTTGCATCTTCAAGCTATTGATTCGGCTCACCTTTGGAGTAGAGGACTCCTCCTTTTCTTTGCTGGTCGTGGCCGCAGGCTCTTCTTGGTCATCAGCATGTGTTTTTACATCCGGCTTCGGTGCAGCCTCCGTGGCACTGTCTGTAGCTGGAATTGTCTGTGGGGAAGTGTCCATTTCCTCAGGCACATCCCGAGATTTATCCTCAGAAGCAGGTTTATCCTCAACGGTAGGTTTGTCCTCAATAGCATGCGTATCCGCTACAACAGGCTCAGCTTTAACAGCAGGCTCATCCTCAACAGCAGGTGTGTCCTCAACAACAGGCCTAGCCTTCACAGCAGGCTCAGCTTCGACAGTAGGCTTATTGTCAACAGGTATATCTCCGTCTGCAACTTTGGCTGCAGTAGAAATAGGAGCAGAGTCTTGGTGTGTTTCCGCAACCTCTTCGACTGCCATCGGTTCCTCAACAGCTGATTTTAGTTCAGCTACAAGCTGGGGCTCGGAGGTCGAGTCAGGCTGCTCTTCTACTGCCATTTCTTCTTCATCATCATCAGCAGCAGCAGCAGGAGCAGCAACAACACCAACACTCGCCTCTTCCTCGGCACTTGTCTCAGCAACCTGCTGTGGCTCGGCACTTTCGCTACCACTAACTGTGTTGACCGGTTGAACAGTGCTCTCAGACGTTAACGCTGCATCTGATTTATCCTCCGCCACCTCAGGTACGGCATTCGATTTATCCTCCGTCATCTGAGGTGCCGCATCAGATGTATCATCCGCCATCTCAGGTGCCGCATCCGAGTGTGGCTTCACCGGTGGTTGTACTGTGCTGGATACTTCCTCTGCACTCCTGGCCATGGATTCCAATTGTGGCGCTGGCGACACCTCGCACATCGGTTCAGCGACTGGCTGAAGCTCACGCGATACCTGTGACGCCAACGGTGTGCAAGCATTGTCAACTGGCAAGGATGAAGCAGCCTTGGAGGCGGTGACAGAATGTTCAGCTAGCTCATCGAATGATGCAGCGGTCTGTTCATTGCTAGCACTACTACCAGACTGGGCTTCACTAGTTTGGCGGCCCGCAACACCATCGTCTATGAACGTATGGAAATGGTCACGGGTGGCATTGCTGGTAGCATTCTTGTCCGGCTGTTGGGACTCTGTGCCCGGATTTCGCTTGGCTGATGGCGACTGAGAGTGTGACTCGCTGCTCTCCAAATCATGGAGGGCATTTGAATAACCTGACAGTGCTGGGGCTTGGGCAGCCGCGGCTTCATAACCCGCTGACTTGGGTGTGCTCGGCTGCAGTACGGAAAGCGATCGGTCGTCATCGGACAGAAGTAGCAGGTTTTTCTGGTTAGGGGCCACACTGGGCAGAGTAGAGTTAGATACCGTAGTCCTTTCCTCCATCTCCGACACTTGGCTGCTTGCGCTGTCAAAGCGTTTCAGCCTCTCATTCAGGACACGTGATGGGCTGCTGGTCCGAGTTACATCAGGTAAACCATCAGTACTAGAATACGACAGGCTACTGGACTCTCCACCACCCAGCAAGGAGCGCTTGTCGTCGGCAACCTTTTTGTAAGTTGATTTCCGGAGCTGCTTTGGGCACGAACAGCCGCAGAAGAATCCTCCAATGGCAAACACTGCGATGCAAGCTACAGTAATTCCAAGAACTGCTGGAGCGTGGAGCACACCTCCAGAACCCGAGCCTTCGTGGCCATCCTCACCATTAACACCTCCGCTGCTCACAAGTAAGCCAAGTGCCTGTGCCGTGGCGAGCTTTACACCAGCGAGGATATGACAAGACATCCCGACAAGAAATTTTCCTGTGGTCAATCTACAGCTCAAATTGTTTCTTGTTGAGCTGTCAATCACGAACAAGACCACTGGACCTGCCACGCCTGAACTGCCCACGTGTCGCTGTCGGCCTACGGCCCTACGGCATGCAAGTCAAACGATACGGCCAGGTAACCTGGTTGTCTGGGTATGACCGAATGGCGGCATGCGTCGACATCCACAGGAACGTCGTGGCACCCCAACGACAACGTTGCAGGACCACAACAAGGCAAGCGTGTGGGTCTTCGGAACAAAAAGGATGCGAAGATGAAACGCAGAGCGCAGCATGCATGCCAGCACCAGCGCCGCCCTGCCACTGGCACTTGTTGTGGAGGTACGTGGCTACGCCGCCAACAGCTTCGCCCCGATCCTGGCCTTCGCCTTGCCGGAATCGTGTACAAACGAACCCCAGCGCCCTCTTTTGGGAATCTGCTCCCTTTTTTCTACATCTACAATGCATGTGTTGTAGTACATGTACCTGAACCAGGAAGTCGTACCCAAACTGCTTTGGGGGGGGGGGGGAATTGGGTACGACTCCCTGACGTCATGACCTGAACCGAAGTACGTTACGTACAGTCATGTAGATCGTCGGATGGGCCATGGTATGGAACTCGGGGAAGCCTTCCCGGCTTCAAAGACGCGTTCTGAAAAATAGTGAAAAGGAGACAAATGTTTTTGAAATTAATTTCCATGATCTGACATGTTTCTATTTTTTTGGAAAGGAGACTAGACGTGGCCGGCAGTCGACAGACTCAGTAACTGGTATTGTGTGGTGCGTGTCGATCTTGGGCCTTAGTGTCTCGTCAAGCAAAAGAGTATCTTTCAGTGGAGCTTCTAGCCGTTCCGTTTGAAGCATGATTTCTAATCGACTCCTTTCCGAGAATTGGAGGTTGCATGGCCGTCGATTTATTAGATCGTGTCATGAGCTTATCAAGCTTCCCCGGTGTTTTATGGATATTAGGGTTGAGGAAGAACAACTTGGTCGCGTTGTGATTGAGCTAAGGCCCGATGTCGTACCAAAGACGGCTGAGAACTTCAGGGCACTCTGCACTGGCGAGAAGGGTCTTACTTACAAGGGAACTCCTTTTCACAGAGTCATTCCTGACTTTATTGTCCAGGGAGGTGACGTCATGCATGGCGAGGGCCACAGGTCCATCTATGGGAAATACTTCTTTGATGAAAACTTCAAGCTGGAGCATGATGAGGCAGGTGTTGTAAGCATGGCGAACAGTGGACCGGACACGAATTCCAGTCAGTTCTTTATCACAGTAGATGTGGCTGGCTGGCTAGATGGCAAAAGTGTCGTGTTTGGAAAAGTTACGGAAGGGCTACCGATCGTGCAGAGGATTGCCCGTGATTTCGGCACTAGTGGCGGTACGCCAAAGATGAACATTGTAGTTGCTGACTGCGGGGAACTCCTCAGCTAGCATGGAAACTCACTGACTACTCATGTTGGAACCGTGTGCTCTTGTTCGTCATTGCCTTGACTCTTGGCTACATACATGTACATCGGTGGGCACCGGACCATGGTATAGTGCAGGCAGGGTTTATGCGCCCGTGCACTAGCAACACCATGCCGGCGGCGTGTTTCAAACACCGCTTGGTGCACATGCTACACTGGTGGTACGGATACCTGACTGCCCAATCATGAATGTAGCCACCCACCCACCCTGCTCTGCGCCATTGCACTTTACAGCTTCGATTTGTTCCGTTTAGCCTCGCGGTGTTTACAAGGGACACATGTTACGGGTAAAGCGGTCATCAACGAGCAGGTTCTCACATCTACACAAGTGCACAGTGGGCAAAGCTCTCACGCAAGCCGGCGAAAGATGGTGCATGGTCTGATTGGTCTCCACTCTCAACGGATTCTGATACGTGTATTCTAATGCCGGTGTAAGCTCATTGCGAACAGTTGCAAATATGCAAGACTGCAAATGGACTCTATTGATATTAAATATCAATAGAGTCCATTTGCAGTCTTGCATATTTGCAACTGTTCGCAAATTTTGCCATACATCCCTGTCTTTTGGTAGTTAATGTATGGAGGAGGGCCAATGGCACTCCACAACCAGTGCTCAGACACAAAATAACACAGTGTGCGCTAGGGCTCAAACGGTCACGGTTTTACCCCCAACGGTTAACTGCTAAGCTAACGGTCGGTTTAACGGTTATAACCTATACGCCACTGCAATCCTGCGGACTCTTTTTTAACCGTATATTTGGCTATACTTATTCAAAAAATGTACCCTATTCAGTACAACGCACACATGTATATTCCCTTGCATGCTCATTCATACATACTCTCACACGAAGAGACCAGATATGACCGAGTTGACAGCCCAGAAATTGCGTACGCGTGCGACAGCCTGCGAAAGTGCATACTTTGCAACGACCTGATACTTGAAAAATTGACTGAAAAGTTACTGCGTAACCGTTATCTTTATCGGTCAACCGTTAATTCTTCGTAACCGGTCTGCAACCGGTTAATCGGACTAACCGTTTGAGCCCTAGTGTGCGCCATGGCCAGTTTAAAAAGGATAGGCCATATCAACAGGAAAGTACATTGTATTGCAACTAAATTCCACTCGTACTCCAGATAACACTTGGCAGTGGTGGGTCAGGCAAGTGCCAGTTATTTCGGCAGGACGCATGAGCTCCACGTGGGAGCAACCAGCTCTGTCTATCATTACCACCGACACTGCTACATCTAAGTTCAAAAAGGAAACAGGCCACACATCTGACACTCTACAAGAAACATTTTCAGCTAGCAAGCAAAAAAAGGAAAATAAACTAAGGCTATGCAGCTACATTGCACAAACATACTAATTTTTTACTACACAGTCACAAAAATACAAAATGATGATCCACATTGAGCTGGACGCTCCTCAAGTTTGGCAGCGCAGTAACACCAAATAATAGAAAAAGCACAACATGATGTAAACTTCATACCGCCGGGGAAACGATTAGCGAGTTCCTATGGAGGTTGATCTTGAATATGACAGACATAGTTGCAGTCTAGGCTAACGAAGAACATGGTACACAAACGATGAACAGCCTACTTCAAAATCACAGGAACAGAAATATAGATGAAACCTGAAAACCCCTGTTGTGCTGATAAAAACCTAAACATGAGTACATGTGTATGGTAATAACCCTTTCAATTGTAGTGAGCTTGACATTGGCTAGCAGTTTGATTCTAGTGTGGCTTTGCGGTACGCCCCAGCATTTCTGTCTCTTCATGTACGCTGCGTGCATTCTTGAATATTGCTGCTATTCACTGGCAACGAATAACTTAGAGAACTGGGAATTAATGACTGGATCAAGAAGCGTAGATTCATTGTGCGGCCGTAGTTGCTCAGGAGCAACCAGCCCAGCGTATGGCAGTGGTGTTGCCCTCTCAGAGCAGCGTGCCTTTGCTCCACAAGACGAGAGGGTGTGTAGAACGAGAGCACCCTGGGCCATTGTGAATGTGGCTGTTAGTGAAGCATCACGCTTTTGTTGTGCTTCGGGCCTGCTCGTCATGGGCTACAACAGCTCTGCCGTTGAAGAGCAGCTTGTAGCGCTGACGCCCCCAGAACACTCTGCGGCTACTAAGAGCGAAGAGGAAAAGAGGGAAGGCGGTCAGCTGGCGAAACCAGTAGGGCAAGAACAAGCGCAGAGATTTGGGCTTGGGCCATTCGTTCTACAGCAGGTAAAACAAATTAGACATGTTTGGGACAAACAAGAATACACATCGTAGTCAGCGTAACGATATGTATATTGTATGACACACCGGGGCATGCATGGTGTAATAACTAATATCACCTGAGGAAGAGGACCTTGACATCACTACTACATTAGTGTTGCCATGCGAACATGGTCAACAAGCAGACCAACAAGCTCTCTTACATAGTCGTAGACCTTGACACACCAAGACTAGCTTTGACGCTATAATGGCAATCCATATGCAGTGCACATGTACATAGCAAGCTGACTAAAAACCAAACGAAATGATTGTCCCGAAGCCTTACCAGTAAGCGGTGAAGAAGAAAGAAGTCCGACAATGCCCACCATGCCACGTGAATTCCAAAAGCAATCCAGAATGGAAACAGGAACAGGTGGGAAACAGCCGCAGCTACAGCAGCACCCATCACGAACATCTCCGTGAACGGTTCCAGCAGGGTGAGGAAAGTCAACATTGTGAATCTCAGCCGTGTCCACCTGCAAGTGCAGACAGGCGCAACACATTTAAATCATATCATTAATAGATACATGACAAGACAGATGAAGGTGCATGTATGACTATTTGAGTATTTGCACAAAACAAATTGTACTGTTGGCGTGCTGTCGAATCAGAAAGAACATTGAAAACAGGGAGCTCGATAACAGGGCAATGGGTAGACCGCAAAAAAAAATAATAGTAAAATTCTTCAAAAGTTCTCACGGACTTCTCGACTTGATCGGCAATGATTTCTCAATGTTCCAGTCGGTACAATCATTTTTTATCATTATACAGCACATCGTTGCAAAAGTGCTAGTACTACTTACCTTATCAGCCTATCAAAGAACCAGCTGAGAGTGACCCGTCCATGGTTCTGCAGGGCAGGGGCAGTGCACATCGCTGCCTTCCAGCCTCTATGTATTCACACACAGCACAAAACAAAACACTAAAACGTGTACAAGTACAGTCCATTTCAAAGATATAGATGCGCAGTGTTTTTGAAATATTTCAAATTTGGCTGGAACGTTTTGAGAATAGTTTTCGGAATATTGCTCAGGTCTGCTCCACAATTACTCGCAATAGTTTCTAAACGATTGGATAACAGACGCCCAATTTGGAAAAATTTATGCACAAAGTGATCACAGATTTTATGTGGTATAGATTCTGGCATAACGGCTTTTGCCTAGGTACGCGTCTATAGTTTTGAAATGGACTGTACAAGTACTTGTCCAAGCAAGGCCGAGCTGCAAAAGCCTAAAAGGATAATGCATCTACGTCATCATTCGAGGTGTACAAAGCATATGACTGTGATGACATCATTCGCATAGCCTCCATAGATATGTTTTCGATTACATTTGATTTTGAATTGTTTTTCATCAGGTGACTGGAGGGCAAGTCCTGTGATATACACCGAGACAGCTCAGGTCAAGTCCCACTATGCAATGGAAGACAACTGTAGGGTGAAGTCCATATATGGCAGACTTTCGAAACTACAGCACCATTTAGCACGTGGGTAGATTTGTACTCGTGACGTTTATTGAAGTCCATTTATACGAACTAAGGGTACACTCTTTTAATCCTCTCGACATTTTAGGAGATTCTCCAAAGCTGTCCGAATTCGGAGGTGCTTCCACGCTATGGATCTGCAAATGCACACTACCGACGAATTTACGTGTTTCCATGCGCAGATAGGCGAGCAATTTTAAAAACAAAAACAAAACAAACAAACATATCTATGCTCATCACTTCTAATACTTGAAAGTTCTAACTAAAGAGGTCATCGAGGTCCCTATTTTTGGTTCTCATCCTCTTCCAAAAGGCATGTCTCCAAAAACCACCAGACAATGAGACCATACTCTAAGCATGTCTACATGTATTGTCAAGAGTCCATAACCCCCCAGAGTGTGCAACTCGTGATCCTTCTCAGCACAAATCAGTGCCGCAACGAAATCCAAACTTCATACGTCATGTAGTGAGTAGCTATGACGAAATGGGAAGTTTGACCCGGACCTACTTCGCCCGTTTGCCCAATTTGGGGTCTTTCTTTACGAATCCACGGCCAGGTATTGTACGTAACACGCCTGGAAAGGCTCAAGTACACAAAGAATTATTTTAGAGTTGTCGAACAGTTTTCTCTTTTGAGTGTCTCTCCGATAAGAGAAGAACAATGGCCACTGTTGAACCTAAAGCAAAGCGCTCCCCATTGTCGCCGGAGTGCAGTGTCTCTGTGGACGATATTCGTCAGTTTTTGCTCGATCTGGGCTCCTCATTTTCTTCTCTCGATTGTCGAGTGTTGGAAATTGTTAATTCTTCCAGCACCTGGATAGAGATTTATTGCTCGAAGTCTGTGCTTCTCACATGCAATGGAAGCACATCTACTTCAAAATCGATCGGGTCTTCATGCCGTGTGCCAAGAGCTATTTTTATCAAATCTTGTAAATCTATATCCATGCCTATTCTTGCTATCCCGGAGTCACGAACTCTCCCAATACAAGCTTTTCAGACAACGAGCAGAGAAGCTCTCTTCAAATAAAAAAATTCTGTGACTGTGAAATCAAAGCCGTTCTGCTGACACTGCATAGCCCGTGGAGCAAACGTTTTACGTGACACTTACGTGGCTTGCTTCAAAGCAACCTTCAACTAACTTGGAACCCCCGCCGGATGTACCAGATATGCACATGGCCCCATCCGCCCATGCTTGCCCGGGGACCGGATGACGCAATGTTTGGATTTCGTTGCGCCAGACCCCAACCTGGAGTTGCACACTCTGGGGGGTTATGGACTCTTGGTATTGTAGATAAAGTAAAGTACCGCGAGAGCGCCCCACCTTGATTTTACAGCCAGGGAAGGAAAATCATATGCCAGAGTGCCACTAAGTTCGCACGGTGTGAGAACCGTAGTGTACTGAGGTCACACTTGGCACGTTTTTGTGTGGAGCTGGCATCCACTCGAAGGCAAACTGAGTACAGATTGGCTGCACAACGTGCAATGTGTGTACAAGGTCCGTGTCGTATGACCTACAGACAGGACACCACGAAAGGAGGAGATGGTGGGGCGCTCTCGCGGTACTTTAAGGTAACAACGAACAATAAACACATGCAAGGGTTCACAGCATGGACCTCAAAACACTACCAACGGCGACATACTTGTTCATGATGGCATTGACCAGGAAGTGATCCTCGGCTACATACGCTGAAAACTTCTCCAGACCTCCTGTAGAACAGGGGCACCCGCAACAGCAGTTGAAGTTCATGTACACTTGTAAAAACAGTACATGAAGGTTCTTGAAAGTACGTGTACACTATAGCTGCCTGGCAGTTGAAAGCAATACGCCATGCACTAGCATTGCCACAGATGCACTTACCTACTTGCTCCAGTGCTCCCTTGCGGATCATGCATGACATCCCATTGATGCAGCGCAAGTTAAGTGGGTGACTGACCAGAATGGCTCGTGCGTGCGACGTGCCAAAGAAAGCCTACACCAACAAGACACAGGGGACAGCAATGCGCCTTGAAAACATACTTTGCAAAGGATCCTAAAAAAGAAACCGGCGCGATCCCTGTGACGACAATCAGCGATAATTTACATGTACCGGTATGTACAGTCTATGTCCAGCACACTGATAATGGTGCAGAGCCACTCCGTTTTATGTGTCTATCAGCACTGCTTGTTGTACTGTTGTGCATTATCATACTACTAGTACTACGCATTCGTTCCTCATGTTGTATTCACGTCAGCTGACGTCTGATGCGCGTAGTCGCGTACTGCTTTCATTCCTCATGTTGTATTCACGTCTGGTGCGCGTAGTCGCGTACACTGCTTTCACTTCTCATGTTGTATTCACGTCTGATGCGCGTAGTCGCGTACACTGCTTTCGCGCGATCTTTTGATTTGAATGTTTTTGAATCTCCGCTTCTGCTTCGAGAGAGGCAGAACTTTTCCTTTGTAGTGCAAGATGATTTCGATCAGAGTCAGAGTAAAACCTTATAATACAGTCTTCTAAAACAACGAGTCGTGTGCTATCCGGAGGCATGTTCGAGTAAGAACACAATGGTCCTTCGAGCCGGATATCAGAAGACCAAAGCTGCGCGGGACACAACCCCTGCAAATTCCAACAACGGTCAGCACAGAACATAGCCACCGTGAGAAAGCTCGCATGCAGAAAGCATCTGCACTGGAATTGAGCTTGCATGCAGCACGACTACAAAAGACTTTTGAATACGTCATCATTGGAATGCTTTGTACGGCGCGGCATTCCAAACTACTGATTTACTACCCCGTATTAACCCTTTCACGGTCTCAGAATCCAGTCAAGATGAGGCTATTTACAGAATTGAACAATTTCGTACCTTGATTCATCCATAACTTCAGTTTCCCCTCGCTGATTTTCATGATCTTGGGCTCTCTGGAAAGCTCTGGACACGAGCAACACGCCAAGCTACAATTCGACACCAAGCGTGCCGTGGATCCAGCGCTGCAGCGCAGCGACATCGCCCCAGTGCTTGATTCACGACGAGAAACAAGATTCAACAGCCATTTCCCTCTCCTTGCTCACATCGAGGTCACATTTTTTGTGAGGAGTGCTGTGAGTCCATACTCTCATTTGAATCCGTGTCTCTATGGCGACAGCTAGCTGCAAAGGGAAAAACCCGTCCTCAAGACCCAGTTCGCCCACTCAAATCGCAAATGAGCCGTGACGCAGATCGCGAGCTTCGTAGCATCGCAGCCGTTCACTCTATCGCTTCGGCGATTGTTCCTACGGATAGCCTGGAGCTTTCTCTTCAACCTAGACATTTAGATGTTCGAATTTGCTCAAAATTTGACTGAGTTACGATAGTTTGAAAAAATCGATCACCGGTGATCGATTTTCAAATGTGAGACCGTAAAAGGGTTAAGCAAGCAATGGGGTGCGTGACTAGCAAAGTGGTTACAACAACAAGAGCACTGGCCTTCCAAGCATAAGGTAGTTGGCATCGGTTCCCAGTTTGAGTGAAGATAATCTCCACCGCCAGGAAACCAACCGGGGATTGGGTACCTGAATCCGATTGGGCACGCAAAGGTGGCGGGGGAGAAGAGATGAATACAACCCTCGATATGTTGAGCACAGTGAAACTGGAGGTCTCTAACACCTCTTGCACCTACGGTCAGAATTGACTAAGGCCCTGGGCCACATTTACCTTTTAACTATAGTGCGTTTCAATACCACATAAAATCTGTGATCACTTTGTGCATAACATTTTCGAAATTGGGCATCTGTTATCCAATCGCTTAGAAATTTATATGAGAAAAATTGCGTGAGCTGCCTGAGCAATATTCCGAAGAAATTTCTCAAAAAGCTCAAACCCAATTCGAACTATTCAAAAAAATTCTAGATGTCTATACATTTGAAACGCACTACTATAGTACTTTAAAACCTTACAAAGCATATGAAAATGATGTCATGGCATAAAATCCATACTACAGTCCTATTCAGAAAAAGATGAGCGCTGGCTCTGGAGAGCTCCCATGTTTGGTGATTTTTCGTGATTTTGTGGTACACTGTGCAGTGCCGCGAGATTCAAAACTTGAAAAGGGTCCAAAAAAGGTGCCTCGGGTGGGGTTCGAACCACAAATCCACAAATGCACTGTTATGCAAGTGGAGTGAACAGCCTGGATTTTCATGTTTTTTTCCCCCAATTCAGTGCTTTGGGGGCAAAACCTGGCCGAAATCCTATTCTCGTTATGGCTTGCTCTTCGGAGAAATAGACTTCAAAAACACAATTGGAAGAGCATTCCATGGGGGATTGCCAAAAAATTGTGACAAAAACTCAAAATTTGACCCATTTATGGCCAAAAGCTAGGATATCATCTTTTTCTGAATGGACTGTACAGTCAGACCTCGCATAACCGCACACATCCGTTTTCCACAAAAATATCCGGATAGGCGAGGGAACCGGATAATCGAACACACATATTGTATGTATGCATGGCATATACTGTAAATCGGTAACCAACGATTTTCTCCGGATGGCGAGGGATCCGGATAAAAGAGGACCGGATAAGCAAGGTCTGACTGTAGTACCATGTCACCCCAGTTACTGCACAAAGTGCAGACTCACCGTATTCAAATAGGAGGTGAAGCTATTGCCGTAGGTTGTAAAAGGCAGCTACAGACAGAGACACACACACACACACACACACATAGGTGACCAATGGTTCGTGATTATGTGTATGCCATTCACTGTGCAGGCTCCACACATACACATGGGCAAATACAACTCCCCCTCTCCCCCCCCCCCCCCCCCCCTCCCCCACACACACACACATGGACGAAGACACAAGATATGCCGTACTTCATCGTTTAGAAGTCGACTGCCCTCTCTTTGAGCATCGAAAGTTCGCTATAAAGTACCCCAGCCCGTAATGCATGAAATATGTCCGTGCAGCCACACCTTGCAGGGCCGGAGGCTGCTTCCGCGGAGCGGTACGGCCGAAGGGCCATCTTTAAGGGGGGTCTGGGGGTCCTCCCCAGAAAATTTTGGAATTTAGACGGCAAATCCTGCACTCTGGGCGACTCCCTGTACAAAATCATACATCGAAACTTTTTCTCCCCGGTTTTGGACGTTCCACGTGGCCCGACTTTTTGGGAAGTTGGTACGGCCATGGCCGTACCGGCCGTACCAGTGGCGCCGGCCCTGCCTTGGCATTTGAGATATACGTACAGCCAGTTTATTTACAGATTTGTGAAATACGAAGGCACAATACATGTAAGTGCACATGCAACCAGTACAATAGAGAGATTTCGCATAACGTAATTACGTTAGTAAAAAACGTAATTGATCTACGGAAAGTCTTACGTAAACTGCATGCGCATCTGTGTTCCGCCATACGGAGTTTTCAAATCAGGTAGCTGCCCTTGGCAACTCTGAACGCGGCAGTGTACGACCAGATCGATCTGGGGAGAGAGTCATAAATTTGTACCCCAATCCACTTACGGACCAGCTACTTTATCAGAGCCCTATCTATGTACTCTACGTAGACAACTTTCCGTAAGTGGAGTGCAAACTCGCGAATTCCCAGGTTTTTCCCGCCCACTAACGTAAAGTTGCTCAACTTTACGTAGTGCGGAACCTCCCCAATACCGGTACACTGCACGCACGTACGACTCGTAGACTCAAGTGTGCTGCAGTGCAAAGACGTCGGACTGTTTGTACAAGTTCCCGGAGGTAAATAGAGAGGTTCGGCTATAAGTAACGCGTACGCGTACGTGACAAAAGTGTTGGCCACACGTTGCAAAGCTACGCGGGCGCAGAGTTTGATTCGGCTTCGCGTTGTGGCAAGCCAAGCCGCATCTCCGGGACAACCAAAATGGCGACATTGATAGCTCGATTTTTGGTATCATGGATATCGATAGTTGGTTCAAAATAATTGATTTTACTCACGCGCAGACTGTGGTTTTTGTTCCAGTTTTTTCCAGCTTGTTGCTTGCTGTCTTCAATCATGGATTTGTGTGACGCTCTTGTCCAAGTGCCAGTAGCTGAGCTGGGAAACGGTGACCCAGACATCGAGCTAGCTGCTCAAGCAATTCATGGACTTCATGAACTGTTGGACGATGATGACGACAACGAGGAAGAGATGGATGTAGATGGTGGCAGGATGTTTTTTTCGCTTCGATCCAAATGATCCCCAGTGGACTGCTGCCAAATGCTTTTTCAAAGCTGTTTGAGCGCATTGTGTACGATCAGCTATATCGACACTTGTCCCCGTACTTGCATACCATGCAGTCTGGTTTCCGGCGAGGAGACTCCACAGCTCTGCACCTAGTCCACCTAATCCAAAACATCATGCAGTCCCGACATTTGAAAGAACGTACTGGCATGTGCTTCTTTGACCTGGCGAAAGTCTTTGACACTGTTTGGCATAGAGGCCTGATTGCCAAGTTGGGTGCCTATGGCATTGGTGGCAACCTGCTTTGTTTCTTTGAAAGCTACTTAACTGACAGGTTACAGGCTGTACGCGTCGGCAACACCCTCTCGTCTCCCCAGGCAATTAATTCTGGTGTGCCACAGGGGTCAATCCTGGGGCCACTATTCTTTTTAGTCTACGTCAATGATCTACCGACATCATGTCTGTCCCTGATGTTTCACTGTTCGCCGATGACACCACAGTTTCTGCTTCAAGTAGTTGCAGGCAATTGCTAGTTGATGACCTCCAGAAAAAGATAAACTCCACCATTTCTTGGATGTCGACTTGGAAGCTGAGACCGAACACTAGTAAGACCAAAGTGATGTTCTTCTGTAGCGGTGCTAGTGATCAGTTCTGTAATGTGTCTTTATCATGTCCTGGCAGCTCATCGACCATAGAAATTGTCCATGAACATAAGCACCTTGGTATAATTATTGACGACTGCCTAACATGGGCTCCTCATGTAGACTATATTTGCAAGAAAACTAGTAGCGTTCTCGGCATACTATATCCTCATCGTTCTCATCTGCCAAATACATGCCGTTCTATGTTTTATCGCTCGTATCTATTACCTATTTTCCAGTATGCATGTCAGTCTTGGTGTAGTCTAAGTCAGCATCTTGTGAACAAACTTGAAATCCAACATAAATCTCTTATTAAAATATTGTTTAACAAGCAGCGTTTATTTCCTAGTCTTGAGCTCTATAGTATCCGCAATACTCAGTCACTGCAAGATAATCGCAAGCAGCAGCTTTGCATTTTGATCCACAGAATTCGCCTAGGTAAAATTCCCATTCATCTCTCCGTATTCAATTGGTTTTCTCTGTCCCGGTCCACTCGTAATAGTCTCTCACTTCCCCGTGCTAATTCAGCCGCATTTACCAACTCTCCTCTGTTTTTGTCCTACAGCCTTTGGCTACAACTTCCCCAGCATGTTGAGACATCAAAATGTCTTTCCAGCTTTAAAAATGCACTCCGATCACATAATGTAGTACGATAGGATCTCCTTGCTGGATTCTTGTCTATCCTTCTTTCTTCTCTTTTTCTATATTCCTTTCTTTTCTTTTCTTGCCGTGGTTGGCTATCACCCCTCTCTCGCACTTTGCGTGCCAATTGGTCATGGACCACGAGTTGAGTGAAATAAATAAATAAAATAAATAAATGGAGAGAAACATTTTGATTCCACAAAGCGCATCATCAGCGTCTCTGTGCAGCCTTGCATTTGCCAGAGCGATTTGTTGGGCCGTCGAAAATAACATGGACAGGTTTTGACGGCCTCTGCGTTGTACTGTCCCGTCTCAGCTAAACGCCTCAAAGATATGGAGGATATGATTGGGAGACCCAGAAGTGAGATGAGCGAGATCTTCAACCACACTTGCCGCTTCCTTGTGGAGGAGTGGGGTGATCTGTTTCGCACTCTAGACCATCCTTGGCTGAACCCCCAAGCCCTGGGAGAGTGTGCTGCAGCAGTTGGGAGGAGAGCCCCTCTTCAGAACGTATTCGGATTTATAGATGGGACTGTGCGCCCCATTTGCCGACCCATTGCTGGCCAGCGCCTGGTATAATTATAATGGGCATAAGCGTGTGCATGCCATCAAGTTTCAATCAGTTGTTGTGCCCAACGGTTTGATAGCTTAACTGTACGGCCCGGTAGAGGGAAGGCGGCACAATACCTTTCTCCTACGTGAGTCTGGACTTCTGGAGCAACTGCAGCAGCATGCTGTACGTCAGCAACCGTTACCAGAAGGTGCACCCCCAGTGCTAAGTTTGTACGGCGATCCCGCATATCCGCTGCGAGCCCAGCTTCTAGCACCACACCGTGGTATCCCCCCCCACCCCCGCCTTTGGGCTCGCTTTTTCAAGACATGAAACGTCGGCTTATACCCAGTGAAGAACAGTACATGTAATACTTCGTAGTACAGCCCGAATAAATCAATCTTCCATCATCGTATCTGCCATGATTGATGTGATGATTTCGGACTTTGTCAGGTAGGATCTCTAGGTGAGTGCAAGCAGTCACTACAGTTACAATTTAATGTACAGTCAAATCTGTCGTAAGCGACCGCCCCTTGGTGCAAGAAAAAGCGGTCTCTTACGGTAGATGGTCTCTTACGGCAGATGTATGGTAAATCTGGCATACCGGGCATGCATATAATTATGCTTCCATGTACTCAAATCGACGAGAATAATGTGATTTTTGATTTCATTTTATTGGATATTCAATAGAATATGGGCGCACTTGCAAGACAGCGCATTTTCACACCTTGCAGTTGACAGCACACTGGCAAGTACAGTTTCGCACCTGACTGAACGTGGGTCGCGGTCGCTTATACAGCAGATTTGAAAGCAGCCACCGTGCATGAAATCGCGGTCGCTGGTCGCGCACAGCAGATGGTCGCTCTGGACAGATCAATTTGTATGTGAAACCGTCGGTGCACAGAAAATCGGTCGCTAACGGTAGATGGTCGCCTACAGCAGAGGTCGCTAACGGCAGATTTGACTGTACCTGATGAATGAGGCCAACTTCAGGAGCCACACACCGCACCATTTCCTGTAGGCTGTCGTGTTTTGCTGAGGATCAGAAACACAAACACACGACACAGGGTACACACATGCATGCGTGTAGGTGAATAGGCAAGTTAACTACACGCGCATGTGCATGTGCGTGTGTGTATGTGTGTGTGTGTGTGGTGTGGTGTGGGTGCGCGTGCGTGGTGTGCCCTGGAGGCCATTCTTCTCCAACTATCCATATTTCCCGCTCCATACCAAGCAGTACATATTCAACGTGTGCGTTCTCTCACTTCGGTTGTATGGATCCAAGTGCTGGGCGCTTCTGCCGCGTGACCTCCAGAAACTGTCAGTGTTCAACATGCATTGTGACCGCTCGATTCTCGGCATTTCGTATGGTCAGTGCCGGAAGCTGTATATCCCCAACAAGGAGTTGTGTATGCACTTTCGACACACAGAGTCCGTGTGAGTGAAATAGAACATAGCCACCTAGGACGGCTGGGAAATCATGTAGCCCAGATGCAGGATATCCGCATTCCGCGGCAGCTGCTGCATGGCTCCCCATCGCAAAGGACACTCCTTCTCAGTAATCCAGATGGATAACACAGAAAAGGAAGATTGGGTCAATCGTAAGCTAGATGACATCACCATGACATCACCATTAAATCACTGTTCAAATGTGCTGAGCCCAACCAAGAAGAGTATGGCAAAGTATAACAGTATGCCAGTAGAAGACACCCGCACGTACAGGAACTCAGATCACTAGCAAGAGTCCATTAGCCCAAAAGGGGTGATAACAGTGCTGCGACGGCAGAGCTTTACATCACATGACATGGTTCAGTAGGCTAAACTGGCAAACAGTGCAAAGTGACTACAAGAAAGCTGTACCTAAAGCAAATCCTGTAGTTATCATGGACAGGGTGCAGGTAGTGTGTACGGGTTCGTCGCGAGATGTGAAGATTCGCCGACGCAAGCTCAGACTGGAATTGCACACTATGATATTGGGGGTTATGTAATCTGTACTCTTGTCGCCTGCCAACACCATACACCTACCGTATATGCCACTGTCCGCAATCCACAGCCAAGGACACCTTGCTGCTTCAACTGCCCGTACCATATTGTTAATTTTCGGATTGAGTCCAACATTCTTAGCTCCTGAGCGGCCACAAAAAGACAGCAGAAGCGATGCAGTGTCAGCACAAGATGAACTGAGTTGAACAATATTACAAGCAATACTGCACGGTTGAATTTGACATGAATCCTGAATGCGTTACAGGGGTACAACTCTGAAGCTACTGTACCGGCGTTGACAACAAAGCAGCAAACAAAAACAACAAAAACACACAAAAAGAAGGAAAAAGTGAACCAGTCGACCACCAACAGCAATATGGTGAAACTTCAGTGTAACGTACCTGCAAGGGCCATACAAATCTATACTGTGCAGCCAAGGTACTGTGTAGCTAAGGCATTGTATAGTCAAGGTACTGTATAGCTAAGATCTATATAGCCAAGGGCAAATGACTGGTAATGTATTGTGAAGGGTCCTCCAAATAAGTTTATATCACATTTATATCCCTTTATATCACATCGTAAAGCGGAGTGCAAGTAACAGTTATTCCTAACAACATGTAAGCCTAAGCATCTGGCGATGCAACCACTACACACGAGAAGACAACATTCGTTTTGGCTCCCTTCTCTTAGGGGCAACACGCAGGAAATAAAAATATCCATGTTGTATTGCCCAGAAGAGAAGGGAGCGAAAACGTCCGGCAAATGAATGCCGTCTTCTTGCGTGGAGCGGTTGCTTGGCCGGATGCTTACATGTAGTTAGCAATAACTGTTATGACCCACACTACGCTACATGTATACCCGTTACCCAAGGTACTTTATACTGAACTACGTTACTAGTAGTTCAGCAGTAGTGGGGAAACCAGAATGGGAGGAGAAATAATTTGTCAAAATCTAGCCTGTATTGTATGCAAGAAATACGAACAAACGCAGCTAAAAGCACCAATGTCAACAGAGAGAGAGAGCAAACATGGACCAACCAATGAAGAGTTGAGAGCGGACGTTGGGGTATTTCTGTTGCAGACGCTGCACAATGGGGATGACCGGGTCTTCTTTACTTTCAACACACATCAACAGCTCAAACTACAAGCACAAAGCGACAAGCAAAGAACACATACATGTACCAAAGTCACACGAAGGAAAACAACACCGCAGCAAGAGACCAGTGCAGTCGAAATGTGTAAAATCCACCAATAGAAGTCTGTGGCTCCATACAATGGTTCAGTCGCTGACTCTCGTCTTTATGCATAACGTTTTGACAGGATCAAGTGTCAGTTTGTCATCGTTACTCGTTAGGGTTGCCGATCAACTATCGCCTATTTGTCTGTTTCTTCCTTCAATCTCTATCTCTCTCTCTCTCTCTCTCTCTCTCTCTCTCTCTCTCTGTCTGTCTCTGTCTCTCTCAATCTGGCTCCTCACTACCCACTTCAACACAGCAATACTTACTCTATCAATTTCATAGTCTAGCTGGAAAAATGATTCTAAATTGACTTCCTCTTGGCCATCAGCCCCGAGCAACGGCTATAACAAAAATAAAAGGAGCGAGCACACACAGACACACAGACAGACCAACTTCACAAGACGAATGATTTAAAAATAGAATGCATAACCAGATGAGAAAAGATTCAGAATCCTTCCAGTGGTCACAGCTAAAAAATCTCGGAGAAAGTAACGAATTGTGATGATCATCCAGTAATGTACCATCATGTACGACATTACCAAAAAAACCATGGTTCGCATGCAGCTCCTAAAGCGGTGGGAGGTGAGTAGATCAGCTCACCAGCAAGTGGTCAAAGACCGAAAATCCCATTCATTGCATCCATGTTTTCCTCGTGCCAGACCACGAAAGCGGAAGGATTTTTTCCAACCGTGCTGCGACCCACAGTTAATTGCGACATTACAAGCACAAGCATAAACTTACTTTCTCTCAGAACAAAATTTAGGGTGCAACGTTGGAGGCGTGCGGTCACCACTGGTCACTACAGAACGCACCAGCAGACTGTAGTCGGCACTACACGTGCAGTGACAATTTCAGCACACGGCATCCATGCGTCAAGATGATCACACATCTACTTCCTCCGGAAACAAAAAACTTCGTGACTTTGATCGACTTGTCAGTTCTGGTGAATCTAGCCCTGAGGAATCGAGCAATGGTGATTCCGAGTGAGACTCGAACAGCGCCAGTATATTCTGCATATTTGTGTACAGATATTCAGTCACTGTCCTGCAGGGTTTTCGTTCCACTAAACTGAATTTCTTCAGCACAGTTGCTCTTTAGCTTGTGAATAAAAAAAGGTCATGGAAAGTTTTAATTCTGGATGAGGTAAATCAGTATATGTGCTAAAAAGCCTAAAATAGAACCACATGCCATGTTGGTGATAGCTGTTTTTCCAAGTATGGTCAGTGATAGTGATTCATGCCCATGGCCATAAAAGGCTGAGTGCATCTCGACCAGTATTGAATTGAAGTGCATGTACATGTAGTTCACTGCCTAGATTTCCACCGTCACCCATGCACTCCAAGACAAGCCTCCCACCTTGATGATCGACACAGCATGGTGAATGCTCTGGTCTTTCTTTCTCTTGAACGTGCCATGTAAAGATACAAAGCTGCAGGGAGCACAGGGCAGGCAAAAAGGTGAGAGAGAGAGAGAGAGAGAGAGAGAGAGAGAGAGAGAGAGAGAGAGAGAGAGAGGCAGAGAAAGTGAGAGCCAGAGGTAGACATGCATGAAAAAAGACACAGAGAGAGGCAGCCCCCCCCCCCCCCCCCCACACACACACACAGATACACTTCCTCTATTACGGCCGAATTCACTACCTCTAGTTCTCACTGGGTTTCTAAGAACTGTGATGGAACCTCGGAACTACAATCATTTTCTGGGTTAGTTGACGTCCTGAGAGATAACTCTGAAAGCCTTTTGGCATAGCTCCTGGATAATATGCTGGTCATGCAGTCACCAAACAACTAACACACAGTCAGTAAACAACAGTCGCTCTAAGACTAACCCTTTAGTTGCAATATTACTCTTGTGATGATACTTTTTTGTCGGCAAACAGAATCACTCCATTGGCTTCTGTATGGCTGTCATGCCCAGGGTTCCACCCAGGAAAAAATGTGTGTGTGTGTGGGGGGGGGGGGGGAGCTAGCTTGCTGCCAGGCTAGTCTATATCTCGGCTATACAAGAGTGAGTTTCTTTCTGAAGAGCAAGAAGCTCGCTGTATTCAAGTGTGGAATGATGTGATATCGGCTGCCCGAGGGCAGATGCTTGTATAATGTCAGCGCATCACACGTCTACTCATACCAGTTTGAACAGGATCGCATTACGGAATGTCCACCACTACGAAATAGTTCACGGAGCTGTCTGAAAATAGTTCAAAATAAGCATGCACTGCGCATTGCATAAAAAAAATAGTGACATCAGTACATGTAGATTGATATCTTGAAGTTACCAGTATTCTGTACGTAGGAACAGCACTGATACTGGAGTTGGACACTCTTGGAGCAATGTACTCTTGACACAACACAGAAGTTAGTTGTTGTTTTTCTTAGGCTTTATTTAGAGTGGAGTTCCAAAACAGGCCTAAACCTAATGACAATGGTCAGAAGAGTTGTGCTGGCTGCAGTTGGGAAGATATCGGGCACAGTAGTAGGGATGTGCGCTGTAAGTGCTTTGTTTTTGTTTGGGCGTTCCTTGTGCTTTGATTTTATCTCTCCCCCCCCCGCCCCGAATAAACTTAGATTCAACCAGGCTGGCTAAACAATGAAGCCCTACATTACTCACTGTACCTCGACGATTACAAAGCGCCTCATCTACAATCGACATACTACTAGTGCACTGCACTTGTATCGAACATCCCCAAATGACCCAACAAGAGAACCATCGGCAATACAAACTCACCTCACTGCTAATGCGACTACATGGAATATTGCCAGCACAACTTCTGTAATGAGGACAATCACTGATATGCCAAAGAGGAGTTTGGAGAACATTACGCCGCGGACCTGTTCGACCCTGTGTCGAGAAAATTACTAGTCTAGAACCCAGTACTCTCTACACAACACCAGCACGTATGATCACAACGACAAGCCGACGAGCTGTCCGAAAATACCAGCAAACATCTGCAGAACTTTTGGCTTGAGAAACAAAAATTTGAAAAGGTATTACTGCAGCCATTCATCAATGCAATCGTGAAGCTTGGAAGAGTCATCCTCCACGTGGAGCTTACGAACAAGATCACATAATTATCTGGTTGTATTATTACGACTCAGCGGAAGTTAGAGTACTCTACAGTCCATTTCAAAACTATGCCGCAGTATGCGCAGTGTTTTTGAAATAGGTATTTCAGATATTAATTTGGCTTGAACTTTTTGAGAATAGTTTTCGGAATATTGCTCAGGTCCGCTCCACAATTACTCTCATAATTTTTATAGTTTCTAAACGATTGGATAACAGACGCTGGAAAAATTTATGCACAAAGTGATCACAGATATGCTGGCTGGCATAACAGTTTTTGCCTACGGTTTTTGTAGCTATGCGTCTATAGTTTTGAAATGGACTGTAGTATCCGCTCGGGCACTTCATGACCTGCACTAGCGCTGCACTGCCACTTGCAGTTGCACTGGTTTGTTGTGTGCGCGGGTATTTTTTGTTTGTTTTTGAATGTGTGTAGATCTCAAGTCAATGCTACATGACGATTGTATTTTTGTATTTCATTTCCATTATGCATCAGCAGGATTGACAAGAGTAATCTACATGATTGTACTCTAGATTATCAGCAAGAGTAGATAAAAAGTTTACCTACTCTCGATATCAGCAAGAGTACATAGCCAGGATAACCCCCAGCTATCAGCTCGATCAGAGCCAGGCCAGGATCATCATGGATGCAGGGAGTAGTCACTATTTATACCAATACTCAAGAGTACATACTGTACGCACCCCCTGCCCGGGGAGGAGTATGTATGTACCCCTGCTGGGGGGGGGGGGTTACACTTGCAAATACAGTATTTTGACATTCGACTCCCTGATTTCCATCACAGAAACATATTATTATACGACTACCTGACATAAACCTCTCATGTTCATTCTCCATTTTAGTTACATGCACTTCAAAAGAAGCATACTTGCATGCTCCACACGACATTGTGCGTAGCTCGAGCTTCCAGGATCCTGCGGAATGACACTTGAGCCACCTTTCAAAATTCTTCAGATATTACAGCCGAGGAAGAACACGGCTTCCTTGGTTGGCCCAGAACAGCGAAGCCTCTACAAGCTGATCGACTGCAAAACGCTAGCTGTGATCCGGGTATTGAGAAAAAAAGGGTAACGATAACGCATGGAAGATTATTCAGTCAACTAGTACACAGACACGTAGAGCACTGCAATGTGAGTAGAGCGTTCAGGCAAGGCGAGCACGTACTGATTATCACACAGAGTCGGAGAAAGTAGAAATACTTGTAGACCGCACTTGAAGTACAGTGACTTACATTGTCCTACATGTACATGAATACATAGCAGGAGCATCACCAAGTGAGCTCACTTTACAGCGGAACAGGCATTGCTAACAGCCGAAAGCAACAGACATTTCAATATTCAGGTAGTGGTGTAAACAGAGAGCTCCGACCAAACAATAAAATGTATCTTCACCGAAATCAGAGGAGCAAAAAGTGATCGTAAGAGTACACACTAGCAAAATAGCTGGTGGCATTGTCAGCTGAACGAACGCAGCCACTTTTTCACAAACCTCAGTTCATTACACCTCCCTGCGACCACTAACATGTAGACAGGCGCTGGAATTAAATCCAAGGAAGTTGGCGACATGTCCATCCTTTCTTATCAACACCAAACCTTCCTGCATGGATACAAAAGTACACGCAGGAGAAAAAAAAATGTCGCAGTTGATGAAAGCCATGTACAATGCGATCAGGTCCAGCCAAGAACAGGCATCTCCAAACAGACACACATGCACACACACGGACCACAAGTATTTATATCGCTAACCAGTACCAACATTACATCATCACATTAGCTAACCACCATGCCGGTAAACGTTTTTCAATTCATTCGTATGATACTTGCACAGCTGTTGGCATCTACATATACTTCAAAGTACAGGCAAAAGAAAATACTTCCACAAACCCAGACCAGGACATCAATATTCCCAGTGCACGTTCGAAGAGAAATAACCCCCATACATGCACATTTACTTACAGAGACCGGCGCATCCTGCAGCTAGTCCCGACCTCAAACAACAATCTATCACAGCAGTCGAACGCTGATAGAGGCACACGTTTTCTTCCCATAACAAGCTGGGTTGGAAATCGGGAAAAGAGTACTCTGTTGAGCAGCGTAACTGACAAGATGAGAGGGCGGCCCAAGAATTCAGTGCTCAGCAGCAGCAGCAGCAGCAGCATCACCCGGGGTGCTCATAATATTTCCGGTAACTATTGCTTGATCCAGGATTCTGCCATACGCGTAGGGTGCAACCTGCAGTGCGGTGGCCATCTTATACAGGGTCGTTCGAACGGCAACGGTAAGTCGTTTTTACCTACTTCATGTAGCTAGTGAGACCAATATCGGCACGGGCTTGTAGATCTATGTTGCATCGCTAGCATCCGGTTGCAAGACAATTCGTATCATACCCATATGCTGTGAGCGAGCCCTCATGTTGTAACACGGGAATTCAAGTGGAATTTGAGCTGCTCGAAACTCCATACCACGGTGCATGTCACAGTTGCAGTTGGTCAGCTGCTCCATACATTGTTCAAAATGAGCATGAGCTGGACTGGCGACTTCTAGCAGGTCGACAGAGAAGTTCAGCCGCTTCTCTGTCGCAAGGAATGCAGTCATAGTTGGAGAAGACGACATGAGGTAATGCAACCACCGAAAGAACGCTTCTGTGAGGTCTTCATCGTACACCACATCACTGGCAAGCAAATAATCCGCATGTGTAGTCAAACGAAGGTGCTCAGCATTCCAGCCAAACTCAGACGGGGACGAGGAAAATTCCCCGTAGTCATTCAACCAGTTTAAATCCTTAACAAGCGTCACCACACCCGGTGGATACAGGTGTTGGTTGCGCTCAATGTTCCTCTTACAAAGCGGAAGGACATCCGCAATGTCGGTGCAAATGACAGCCTTCGGGCGGCACACAGCTGCCACGATTCCAACTAGCCCCGGTCCACAACCCAACTCGAGTACAGTGCTGTCACGGAATAGCGCTCGCTGCCAGATGATAAAATCGCACAGAAGAAAGGCACTGGACCACACCTGGAGGCCGACGTCTTTCAACGCCGTCGCCATGCTGTGCTCAATTGCAATGCATGTCTGCTGCGCTGTAGTCACTTCAGTATGGCGAGCTGCCCTCCGATTCAATACTGGATCACCATCATCATCCAGCTGTAGATCATCAATGGGCTCTCGCTCTTCGGACAAGCAGGATTCAGTATCACTAGTAGCCAAGAATTTCATGACCCATCCGTCTAGAGGGCTTACATTGCAGCTAATCGTGAATGAGGACAAACGATGGTGATATCCACTGGCATAGGTTTGAAGCTGACCATCGGAGCCCGTGAGAGCCTCAGCACTGCCAACGCAGTGAACACCCGACAGTACATGGCCTTCGCTATTCGCCATTCCCAATTATAAAATTAATGTGTTTTAAAATAGATGAATTCATCTGTTCCAACAAACATCGGCGTCGTCCAGGGTGACCCAATGTCACCAATAATGTTTATAACTTACGCCGAAGGTTCCATGCGTAGGATCCGAGAGCAAGCTCTACCCGCGTCAGACCTACCAGCAACTTTCACACAATACGCAGACGACACCACTGCCCATCAGAACGAGCGATCATCTGTGGAAGAAACCGTCCGTGTGTGTGAACCCGTTTTCTCGGATGACAATCTGAAGCTGAACGTGGCAAAAACTCAATATTTCACTGTGACCAAGGAAGATGATTCCTGGAAATCGGTGAAGCTGCTGGGGAGTATGCTAGGCACAGCAGAAGACATAGCAGCTAGAGTGTCTGCTGCGAATCGGGCATTTGCAGGCATTCCATGGAAACGCCACAACCTGAATTCCAGGCTGTGTATGTTTTCCTGCCTGATATTGCCTGTCTTGCTGTATAATTGTGCGCTTTGGACCTTATCGCAAACATTAACCGACGTCGTCAATGTATGGCACCGGAAGAAACTACGTACCATCATTGGTATCACCAAGAGTAGATAAACAAGAGTGTGCAACTCCGGATCTCTCCTGCACAATCTGCAGATACCCCGCGCCCACGGCGGAATTTTTTGTTTACGTCACCTTTTTTCAGAGAAACGCGGCTTTGCCGCAGAGCAGTGTGAGAGCACGTGCTGGGCACCGACCTTGTAGTGTAAAGCCCAGCCAAGTGCACGAGGGAAAACTCTCCAAAAGGCTCGCAGCGCGTGCGTCGTCGAAAAGATTACGTCAACAAAAAATTCCGCCGTGGGCCAATCCATCCGGAGTTGCACACTCTTGTTTATCTACTCTTGGTATCACGTACCCACAACGAATCTCGAACACAGCGCTGTATGCCAGAACCGAGCAGACCCCACTATCCCAAGTCTGCAGGCAACGGAGACTGCTGTGGTTCGGCCATGTAGTGAGGGAAGGCGAAGAATCGTCCTCTTTCCAAGCCCTCCTAATGTCGATCAACACAACAGACATACGACGACCCCGAGGACGGCCACGTCTGAGATGGATCGACGTTGTCAAGAAAGACTTACAATGCATTAATCTGTCGCTTCTGGATGCTGTGCAATCTGCTTCTGATAGAGCTGCTTGGCTCGAAATTGTTAAAGGGAAACTGAACGCCAAAAATAAGTATGGCTTATCCGAAGGAGAATTGGGCACTGATTCCGATGAGCTATGTCTCGAGCCGATCAGAGAAGAGGAACTGTGTCAAATTTCATAAATAACACCTCCCATATTTGGAAATTGGCCTTGATGACGTGCGTACTGCTTAGCTGTCACCATGCTGTGCATGTTCAGCGGTGTAATTGAATGGAAGAAAACAATTACTTTGGTGTTTTGCAGCTCTGTTTCGTTCCCTGACGGTAACCAAATCTAGATGTAGGAATCTGTTGAGCAGGAGAGTGACACATGTCTTCCCGAAGGCTGTCCAGGCTGCAGTGGTGATGAAGAAGACACGATCATCACCCCGAGATCGATCGTAGCGAATTGGAAAACTCATGGTGAATTTGCTTCCACTCCAAGGCAATATCGAGGTATGAAGGGTGCTTGTACTGCCTTCCAAAGTGAAGAGGAGATGAACATGGCTTTGCATAGCTGTTGTTCTATGCCAACTTACCTACTCTTGCTGGTACCGTAGTGGCATATTGCAAATTTCGTGGACGAACAACTCTAGTCACTAGTGGCTAGTGAGCAACACTAACAGGTGAGATTTTTCAATTCGACAAAAATTGTTTTTGTTTGAGAACTGACAGTGGCAGTCATTAGACTCAGTAGGTGTATCTCCGCTGCTTCTTTCCCTTCATCGGTAGGGTTGTGCTTGAATAGTACAAGTGCTTGAAGTAAAATAAAATAAATAGAACATGTGGAACATAAATCTAATCAAGCATCAGTACATGTATTGCGAATTTCAACTTCAAAGCACATGAAATCACAATGATCACGAAGTTTATGTAATCAGGAGTACACCCTGTGTTCAACGAACACATACACACATGCTGTATTGCGCACACACATGTACACATGTGCGTGCAGCCCCACCCCATCCCACAGACACACGCATGCAGCGCGCACATCCATACACATGTGCGTGTACCCCCCCCCCCCCCCCCACACACACACATTCCTACCCATACACATGTGCGTCCCCCCCCCCCCCCACACACACACGTGTGCACATACCTTTGACCTTTGACGCCCATCGCCGGAGGCGATGATAGCAATGCTACGGCAGAAGCCACAGCAACTTGTGCCGGGATTGCACCATTCAACAGCTTGCACCATTCAACAGCTTGCAAGGCTGAAGAATTGACCGTCACTATTCAGCCTGGTCTACACCATACAGCTATTTGAAGTGGTTTTTCTGGCCAGTGAATCCCTATTTTTGGTCTTTTCATTTTCATTTTTTTCTTTTTTCCCGCACACACATCACACCACATACTCCGGCATGCACTGGCTGTTGGTAACCACCCAGGAGAATGAAAGAAAAGTCAGGAAGAGTCTGAGAAAGAGAAGAAAGACGTGTGTGACCATAATCGTCGGGAATCGAACCCGTGTCCCATATGGTGCAGTGGTATGTGCAGCGATTTCCAATCGATAGGTGCACATACAGATACACAAACACACACGCACGAACACACACACACAAGATACGTGTAAGTGTACATGGTCTTCCTGGTGCAGATGCTGAGCCAGCACAATGGAAAATACCTCCATCAAGATGCTTGATCAAGTGTTGTGATAATGGCACTGTTTGTTTGTTTTTTACAAAGAAGTGTGGGAAGGATTACAATGCATTATAATTCATAATTGTTCTTTGCCTTGTACTGTGCAGACCAGAATGCTTCGCTATCAACTCCTGGCTTTCCATCGGCATGGTGTTCAGCTGCAGCGGCATCTGGTCCGGGGAGTTCAAGTTGCTGGATGGCTGCACTGACACAGGATGGGTTTGCGTTGGCAATGCGATACGGCAGTCATCCCACATCACGAGCTACATGTTTATGTAATTTATATTGTCGCTCGTCCAGCAACGTCAAGGCTCTGCATGTAAACACAGGAGAACACCATAATACTACTCAGGGGATAATAATTTTGGATATCAATTTCGTGACAATTATTAGATTGACACAATATTCACAACGTATGCAACACGATGCTGTCTATTGACACTACTTCAAACTGAACTGCTCACTACTCCTCTCCCGTTTTCATCTCCCTCTACCTTATGAATACTCTGCATTACTGGTTTCGTTTCTACCCTTTCCATTGCTGCCAGCTCCCAGTTTTTTTCAATGCACAGCACCTTGACAGTCATTTTTGTGATTTGATGTACACATACTTTGAAGTTCAAATTCGAATTACATGATCAGATTTTTGTTCCACATTTTCTAGTTATTTTTACTTCAAGCACAACCCTACCGATGAAGGGAAAGAAGCAGCGGAGATACACCTACTGAGTCTAATGACTGCCACTGTCAGTTCTCAAACAAAAACAATTTTTGTCGAATTGAAAAATCTCACCTGTTAGTGTTGCTCACTAGCCACTAGTGACTAGAGTTGTTCGTCCACGAAATTTGCAATATGCCACTACGGTACCAGCAAGAGTAGGTAAGTTGGCATAGAACAACAGCTATGCAAAGCCATGTTCATCTCCTCTTCACTTTGGAAGGCAGTACAAGCACCCTTCATACCTCGATATTGCCTTGGAGTGGAAGCAAATTCACCATGAGTTTTCCAATTCGCTACGATCGATCTCGGGGTGATGATCGTGTCTTCTTCATCACCACTGCAGCCTGGACAGCCTTCGGGAAGACATGTGTCACTCTCCTGCTCAACAGATTCCTACATCTAGATTTGGTTACCGTCAGGGAACGAAACAGAGCTGCAAAACACCAAAGTAATTGTTTTCTTCCATTCAATTACACTGCTGAACATGCACAGCATGGTGACAGCTAAGCAGTACGCACGTCATCAAGGCCAATTTCCAAATATGGGAGGTGTTATTTATGAAATTTGACACAGTTCCTCTTCTCTGATCGGCTCGCGACATAGCTCATCGGAATCAGTGCCCAATTCTCCTTCGGATAAGCCATATTTATTTTTGGCGTTCAGTTTCCCTTTAACAGATGCGTTGACCTCATGCAATGAGTGAAATGCGAACTGTCATTATTATTATTATTATTAATTCATCTTTCACCATTCTTGAGCAGAGTGCCCCAAACCTTCAGCAAAAGCTGAGCAAAACAACAACATATCGACTACTGTAGCCAAGGTTCTTCTGTGTTCTACTGACTACTGTACTGTGCAAAGGCAACTGTAGATGCGAAAAAAAAGGAAGGAGAGCTGAGCTGATTCAGTGATTGTGTTGTTACAAATCGTCGCTGAATGTTCAAGAAAATACACTTCAAAAAATTAATGATGCTTCGTATCAAGCAAGAGTTCATAACCATAACCCCGGGGTTATGTACTCTTGGTATTACTGTACTATTTGGCTACCCGAACCCCGTACAACACAATCACTGAATCAGTCTTGTACGTAGACTGCGTACCCGACCGTTGCATGCAGTGTGGATTGGGCCAGCCCAGCCAGGCCAGGGCAAGTCAGAAAAGGAATGGATGTGTGCCGAGCTCAAACTCACACGTCCAAAACTGATTTTTTTGGAAGGCTACTGACTTTCTCTGGCGTAATTCCACTTTCGCTTTTGGGTAGCTTTGTGGTGACCGATGTCAAGTGTAGGTTATTCAATTGTCAACAATTACATAATGCCTCCATCGTGTTCTTCCTTCAAATGAATACTGCCCGAGTTCGAGGTGAATGTGTCCCGAGTCCACCATTGCCGTGTTCCAGAATTTGCTGCCGAGAGAGATAGGAATTTATAAAAGCACTGTTGTTCCACGAGTCTTCTCGGTTTGACCAAAATCCTGAAAGCCGGCAGGTCGGAGGAGCTGTGATCGGCGTGTCATGAGTCAGTCGATGGACGAGGAGTGTTTAGCAGGAAACACCTACCAGGATGGCAATGCAGCAGCAGGCGACAGCCAGGCAAGAGTCCCCAAAGGCTGGCGGATGGTCATCAGGGAACTGGTGGAGACGGAACGTACCTACGTCACTGACCTGAGCGACGTCATAAGAGGCTATTACGAGTACTTGCCTGGATATTACAAGCCTAGAGAGTGTTGTGAGCTGCCCATGAGCGCTGAGGAGAGAGATCTTCTGTTTAGCAACCTTGGAGACCTTGTCCAGTTGAACGCGTCCTTACTCGGGTGCTTTGAAAACGCTAGCGGTCGACCTGAGCAGATCGCTGCCTGCTTTCTGGACCGCGAGGAAGAGTTCAAGATTTATGCCCAATACTGCATAAACTATGTGCAGGCAATGGACACGTTCAACTTGCTGCTGAAGAGGCCAAGGGCTGAAGAATACTTCCAGCATTGTCAGCTAACGCTTGGCCATACGCTGCCACTGGATTCGTTCCTCCTAAAGCCAGTCCAGCGAATCCTGAAGTACCCGCTGCTTCTGAATAGCCTGATCAAGCAGTACACCAAGTTCCACGACCTGTCGGAGGAGATCCGCCAGCTGCTGTTGAGCGCTCACATGACCATGTCCAATCTGGCACAGTACATCAATGAAGTCAAGCAGGCCAAGGAGGAGAGCAAGCGCACTGAGGAGATCTTGAGTCAGATCATAGGCTGGGAAAGTCCAGCAGACACTGGGAACATATGTGTGGAGGATCAGGCACGCGTTTATGGCACGAAAGGCGAGCACCATCACCTGTATGCATTTCAGAAAACGCTGCTAATTACGAAGCCAATTAAGGACGGTCCAGAACTGTATCGACGACACCTGCCATTCTCAGACATTACTTTAGCCGATGTCTCAGCAGATCCGTTTTTGTTTGAGCTCCACTGCCCCAGTGAACAAGAGGAACTGTCGCCACGAGCCATGCGCCTCTTTCCAATCGTAGTCTGTCCTCGCAATGCCAAGCAGAAGGCAGTTTGGCTCAAGACTCTGCGAGAAAGAGATGTAGCAGATGTGACTGTGGAAATCGAGACAGTACGTCGCAAGACATTTACCACCGGTGAGCAATCATCCAGCGGTTCATCTGCCCAAGGGCTTTCAAGGCCAAGGCATTCGTTTATTCAAGTCATTGCTCAAGTGCAAAGGGCCGCATCCATAAATTCCTACTCGGCATCCAGCAGTAATAGTGGCTCATTTCACAATCGCATCGACAGCAAATGTGATAATATGGCCAGTGTCAATGGTGATAAAGCAGGCAGGTCTGTAGATGAGGCACCAACGGATCGCAAGGTGTCAACCCTAAGAAAGTGGGATGAGCTGGTTACCATTGCTCGGCAAGCATCCCTCGAAAAGTCCTCAGCAGAACGGCGGAACAGAAACCAGTCACTGCATATAGCAAAGGACAAGGTCCGCTCACCTAACTTCTGGCGAAAGGCGCACAGCTCCACGGAGAAAGGGGATGAGCTCAGTTCGACGGGAGATGTGTGTTCTACTGCATCTAGTGAGATTGATTTCTCCAAGACGGCCCCATCGTCTCTTCAGCTGAGCTTGCCGGTGATGAGCACAGGCTCCGTGTCCAGCGCCGTTGACACCACTCAGCAACGCACGGTCGAGCAGTGCGAGAGCACTTCTGCTTTGGATCGCGATACCATGTGCTCGCCAATGTACACCGAATTAGCTTACTCACTGCCGGCGTGCCCCACTCAGCTCGAATCGCCGACCAGTCCTGGCCTGCCTCCACTATCCCCGCTCTCCAGCCAGAGAGGGACAAGAGCTCGAACGCAGATCAAGGATGCGCTGAAGACAGCTGGAAAGTTGATGACACCTAGGCGACTCCACACGCCAGGGTCTTCCAGCCACAGTGAAGAAACACCCGTATCGCCGACAAATACAAGCCACAATCAATCGCTCAGGCCGAAAGCATCACGCTCTGTAGGCGCTCAGGTTGAGTCCAGCTTCAGCGGAGGCGGGTTGAATGCACGTCAACTGGAGGATTCGGACAGCGTATTCAGTGTGACACAGAACCGCAGTTTATCAACGACCGGCACACAGACTCGGTCAAGGGTCGGGTCAATATCGTTCAACATACCTAGCTGGGCAACATCTGGAAGCAGCAGTAGTCGCTCGAGCAGCACTTCAAGTTCAAGTTTAATCCAAAAGGTAGCATCGAGAGGAAAGCGTGTGTCAGCACCATCCGTAATGAAGTTACCAGAATCGAAACTGGAGCCATTCCAGCAGCCACGGGTAAGTTTGTGTGCTTCTAACCCATGGTGCTTTTTACTCTACTGGCAATCGTGTATAGACCTTAGTACAAAGTGGTTCTTTCCTCAGTGTGTGCAGACTCCATTGTAGCCAGGAAGGGACCTGAAGATGGGCCTGGCCCGAAAAATTGGATTCCCTCGGGAGAATTTGTAGCCAAGAGACCGTTTTGGGGTAGCGGTGTTAAATTGTGTGACACAAAGCGGTTCCTTGAGACTTCAGAGAAGTAATATGGTTCAAGCTTAACGATGAATTATATGCAAGCATGCAGGACACAATAGGATTGTAACGTCATAACGTACATACTCTTACCGACACGCTTGGACTTGGGGATACCGATATGGGTTTGGTGGCAGCAATCATGGCGTCATTTTGTTTCCATAATACTCCGACAAGTGGCATGGTGTTTGTTTTGTGGAGGTAGGATAGCATCTACCACTTTTTTTGGTTTCTTTGTCATTGAGAGACGGAGAGACAGAGACACATAAACACAGAGAGAGAGAGAGAGAGAGAGAGAGAGAGAGAGAGAGAGAGAGAGAGAGAGTGTGTGGTGTGTGTGTGTGCGCGCGCTTGTGGTGTGCGTATGCACACGCACGCATTACGATAAAAGGTACAGCAGCGAGAGAAAAAGCAGTAAAATTTGGGTTTTTGAAAGCGTCAAAAGCACAAACTTGCGATGACGGTCAGAGCCAGCGCGTGCTTTACGGCTACATTGAACAATACAAGGCATAGAGTCTAAAATGGTTGATGATCATCATCAGACCAGACCAGCTTCAGAGTTGCATGCTCTGGTTATTGTACTCTTGCCTTGGTTACACTGGTCCCGTCGACAGAATCTGATATCATCCAGGATGCAATATCTGGCCGTTCTCGACTTCTGTTGCTTTAAAGTGGAATAAAAAGAAACTACAGTCTGTATCGGCTATAGCGTACCCTTTTGATTTCCGTGATATTATCACTATATCCGATGCATCACTATATGCGATACGATCGATTTTTTATTTTTTATTTCGATCGACACATGAAAGGCAAGGAAATACTTCCAGCATATGTCCTAGCATGGCGTTTTGACAAATGAGCATGCTGCATAGTTGACAGTGCCCGCATTTCCATAAAAAAATTCTGTCATGTACATGTACAGTGCTGCCAAACCGTCCGATTTTTCGGACAATGTCCGATTTTTGAAGGCTCTTCCGAAAACCGGTCCGATAAGGGAAACGTCCGAAAAGCAGCCAAAATGTCGGAGATCATTACTTTCCTATGCAGAAGTCCTGTACTTTCACTTTTCAGCGCAACTGAAGGCACACATCACTGTACATTTGCTTCTAAAAAGGCTAGCGCTTGGCTGTGGAAGTGCAAAGTAACACACCTGGATCAGGCTGAATGGCATGTACACTGACAGTCTGTACAGAGTCAGTGTGCGACCACACTCATCATCACAAAATTCATGACAACTCTGGGGTTACCATGGCAACGGAGCGATTTTTCATGGTCTTTTAGGCGATATTTTGAATTCTCTGTAAAAAAAATTGCCGAGGAGAAAAATTCGCACCATGTGGCCAGCCTTGGCGGTGAAGGGTGTCCGATTTTGGGCGAAAATTATTTGGCAGCACTGCATGTATCACTATAAAATAAGCAACGTGAAGAAAGGAAAAAATAGGGCCTTTGATATTACCGTAAAATCCCGCCAGAGCGCCCCTACCTCCTCGACGCTTCAGGTGGGGAGGGGCGGATGGGCGAGTCCTACTTGCCGCATTCAGTGCTACATGAAAAAGTACTCACCCTACGAAAACTGTTCGTGCATCTCGTACACCGACCAAAGGTCAAGAGCCAGGAGTCGAACACTGACGAACAGACCCGACAAAACGCTGGGTTTGTGCGATCCCTGGTCAGGAGGGTACTAGGGTGGGCACTGTTGCGTACATTTCCAACGGGGTCGAGCACGCGTCTGCAGTGCAGTACGGCATCACAGACTGCGACAGAGTCATACGAGGATACAATCAATCCCGTCCCTGACAAGAAGTCAGGGAGGGGCGGATGGGAGAGACGGGGCGCTCTGGCGGGATTTTACGGTATTGCTACATGCATTTTATAGTTACAGGTCCTCCCTCGTTAGTAGATAATCTCTGGGCCATCGAAAAAGTTATCTTATAACGAGACTTATCTTGTAGCAGGACTTGCAGCTAAAGGTGAAGTAGGCACTACTTCGTACTTATCGGGGCTACCCTCGATACAACATAAATTATCGATGCTTCAACTCGTTATAAGATAATTGAAAAATCTCCAACATAACTCTTCCTTGGATGAAAAGGATCGTCCATATTCGCAAACACATAGATATATTACGTTTCGTCTTTCTGCTTTATCCTACCTGTTTTGGCCTTGGTCCTGCATGGTCAGTATTATCTTAGACTGAGGGTTTGGCACTCCAGGGACCTGGGCAAAGGGTCGTTATAACGAATTTTATGTACTAACGGATTATGTTGTAACCGGACCTGTAAACAGTTGTATAGACCACGTTTCGCCAGGGGATTTCAGATTTCTATTTACTAACGGGGTTTGTGTACTAACCGGACTCGTTATAATGAGGGAGGACCTGTATCACTATAGCCGATAATAATATAGTGTGTTATGCATGTTTTGATTTTTTGCTGCCATCATAATATCCGATATATCATTACATCCGGTAATATTGGTTATAGTGATATTTTTACTGGATAAAATACGTTTTGCTTTTGATATTTCGTACCAATATCACTGTAGCCGATATATTCTTTTATCCAGTCACTCTATAGCCGATACAGACTGTACACAGGTACTCCGAAGCGCACTCAATCTGTGGACACTGCTGATTCATCCTTTGTAGTCTTATCTACACTGTATGGAGAAATGGTCCCGCATCTGGTAGGAATGAAAATATGTTACAGAGCACTTGAAAATGGTGCCTAGGGTCCAAATATGAGGTTTTGAGCTATCATGCCCTTGTGGTAGCTACATGTACATTGTAGTCCCTCCAGCTTTCATACTATAAAAAACCCAGATGGAAATTTGTCAACAAATAATACTGTACTCGGATGACGAGCCAAAAGTAAATGTAAAAGTATTTTTCCCCTTTTTGTTCCTATCTTAAGTTAACCTCGAACCTTACAAGTTGTTAGGCTGTTGGTTAGCACCCTGGAGATTGGTTAGAGCTAGGTGTCATGTCTTTGAATGTTTCAGTAGTTTGTCAGTTGTGTGCCCAGTTATTGCACTTTTTGACTGCTTATGATCTAGTGACAGTGTTGGACACCTCCTAGTCATATTTCCTCTAGAATTTTTTTCATTTTACGAATGATGCTGTGGGGGTAGTTTTTGTGTGCGGTCTTTGGCCACAAATGTTGGCCAGTTCAAACTTCAGATGCGTTCTTTCCGTTACAGTCAAGTGCAGCTAAGCATCCTTTTCATGTGCACTGCACCGAATATATTTCTCGGAGGCTGAAGAGGCGCTCGATGTACTGGTATCAAATAAGCTGCACCACAAAACGCAGATGACCTACATTCATCTTCAGCCCTTTAAGCACTGCTACGATGCTACCGAATTCCTTTATCATCCATTTTCACTCGTATTCCATTGGGAAAGGGTTTCAACGGTTTCAAGCAAGGGACATGATGCATATTTACTCATAGACTTGGTGTTTATCTTGCCATCCTTTTCCTCCAGGAGAAACCCATGTCTCGCTTGGGACGCCTGGCTGAAAGGACAAGAGAGCGCCGCAACACAGTGTCCAACTACTGCAGGAAAACACCGGAGAGTTTGCCGGGCTCAACGGACGTGTTCTGAGCTTGCATGCTGGTAAGAGAAGGAGTGAGAGAGGCGCCCGCTGAGCAGTGCGTTGTGGCGCCTCACCCATACGGACTGCTCGTTGCCTGTGGAATGCAGTGCTTCAAGCCATCCCCGTCCCGTGAACAGTTTTTACGTATTTTCACGCAAAGTTTACCAATCAAATCATGATAGCATGTAACATGCTGCGTGCAGGGCTTTCGGTGTGCCACTATCGGCTATCCCGATCGCATACAGACCCACCTCTCTAAACAAGTACAGTTCTTTTCCACCTTTGTACAGTGCAGTGCGCGTACATTCAAGTCTAGGCTCCCAGTCAAATGCTGTTCTTTTTTTGGCTACGACATTCTGACACGTTAGCACCCTACATACCTTAGTGTCCCACAAATGCCTTGCACCCGGGTTCCATTCACAACCCCTGCTTCTGAGCTCATGTACATGTGCATTCTTGCATGTCATGCAGCCTGAAAGCTCGCCCTCGTTTCATGTACATGCATGTCATGCAGCCTGAAAGCTCACCCTCGTTTGTCCGTGTTCTGGTATATCGATTTATTCATTCGTCCCGTCGCTGCTGTTGCCGCTGCTGTTACTGAGGTTCCTTCAAGCTTGCTAAGAAACTTTAAACTGCATTCAGTCAGGCCACTTTTTTTGTCATCCCTGTTATACTCCCTCTTTTAATGTGGTACCTCAATATTTTCTCACTTCTCAAAACTTCCAGTAGCCCAGCATCAGAAACTATCTCCTCCACTGAACCTTTTAATTAATAATACAACATTTTGGAATGATGACGATGTGCTATTTCAGCATAAAGTATATTTATATTTGAATCTGAAGCTATCTGAAGCTATAATTATTTTAATTTTTTTTATACTTGACAAGATCCTTTCAGAAAACAATAATAATTTACTTTTATTTTTAACCATTTGAGACCAACACTGTTCTAGCCAGCTGCCCCTTGAGACACCATCATACTCTGGCAGTGCAGGCATGTATAGTGCAATCCGTCTGCATTGCTCACATACTATAGCCTGTACATTCAGGCAGGAGAAGCATGTACACGTATGCAGGTGACATGGCACAACGGATTGTCGGCGGAGTTGTCTGGGTGTATGCGCAGGTTTGTGTGTGTGTGTGTGCGCGCGCGCGCGCGCGCGCGCGCGCACACGTTTGTGTCAGTCACACGCGTGCATGCGTTTATGCATGTGTGTAGCTGGGAATGGCTTATCAAAATAGCAGTACGCTGTCTGTCATAATTCTGCTTGGCCGCCTATTAGTTTATGCCTCAAGAACTGCTCTTTTCTTGACTGATCTTTGTTTTGCTGTGGCATCAGTTGACATTGCAGTTGTGCTTGCGGGCTGAGAGCTGCGTAGATCTATGTCCGACCATTCCCACAACTTACATGTACACTATGTCATGCACATTATAAAGAGAATACTATTATTATTGTTATATGCATTCCCGCGTTGAAGTGTAGCAGCAGTATGCTGCATCCACAGCTTCGCTTACTCAGACTGATGGCTTGGGTGAGAGGAGAGGGGAGAGAAAGCAACCAGGCAACCAACATGTATGAAATAGACCATAATAACATGAAGAGAACCAGGGAGTCGTAAATTTTACGACTCCCTGAAGAGAACCAACCTACATAATATGCATGATTGCACAAGAATGGAGACGACAAAGGGCTATAATCATTGTGCCACAAAAACCGAATACTGTACAATAAAATTCCTCAGATATCCCGGATCGTCCCTACAAAAAAAGTGTAATCCTTTTTTATTTTTCGACAGGCACAGCTCACGGCTAGTAGTAAAATATTTTACTACTCCCTGGTCAGAAAGGTGCATGTCCGATAGACAGCTAGTACATCTGACCCATCTACAACCACAAAATAATTGGCATCTCGACGAAAAAGGGCCTCAAAAAAATTTAATGTTGGTTTGCGTTGCGCAAACCGTAGTTAACCAGCACGCCACGGGCCGCGCCCCCGCAGGGGAATATTCCCGCAAGATGACTTTAGGTGACCATACGCACTCCGCCGTGCCGCCGCAGCCGACTCGCGCAAGCACGCACTCTTGCAGAGTTCCGCATTCGGGTCGCACTCGCGTACGACATCCCGTATGAGCCACCCTTCGCCTGGCGGATGCATCCGTAGACGGCTCATCTACTGCTGGCCGGTGTAATTTTGCCAGTTGTCTGTTTTGCTGCGAGTGCTCGCCACGCAATTTTGTTTTCTATTCCTCAACATTTAGAACTTTAGTATGGCTTTCTCAGCAGCCCAGAGGGACTCCATCGCCGAGATTGTGGCTGCCAGCGTTGCAGCAGCACTTGGCAACAGCCCGCCGGCTGGACACCACGCGGCTGACTCCGAGACTGGAGCAAACGGTATGTTCCCGGATGTAATGCACCACACCCCCGCTTGTATTGCACATGTGGCCCCAGAAGCCATTGACAAAATAAAACGGATCGAGTATGTCGATATTGCTTGTCTGCTGCCCCCAAAGCCGGGACCAGCCGCCGAACCAACCCCCAAGAGATTCCGGGTAGATGACGACGGGGCACTGGCAGTCTGCGCCGCTCCAAAGCGGAAAATTGAAAACTTGGCCACGTGGATCGAGGCGTGGTCCATTTTCAGCCTGATTGCCATAGGCGAACATCACCTATGCGCCGAAGCCCTGATGATTCACCAACTCCGAATCATCCAGGCCGCCGGCAAGTACCGCTTCGCAGCAGTTGTAGAATTCGACACCAGGGCGCGGCAGGCGCTGTCGAAAGATTTGTCCCGGTCACTGGCAGACCTGGACACTGAGCTCTACACGACCTGCTTTACCGGGCAGGCACTCCCCTTTTGCAACAACTGCAAGAGGCTGGGGCACCTGACCGCCTCCTGCACAACGCAGCCCTTTCGGAGCAGGCCAAAGGAGCAAGGTGTCAGCTCCAGCGCAAAACCAAACGAGACCTGCCGCCGTTACAACTACGGCACCTGCGTCGGCTCGTGCAAGTTTCGCCACGCATGCATGTTTTGCTCGGGAGAGCACCCAGCTTCCGCCTGCCCAGCCAAGAAATAGTGATGCCGCGAAGGCAGCCCCGGCAGTATCCTCTCTTAATAGTCTTATTTATAATATTGCACCGCACACACCCATCCACATTGATGTATTGCACGATGAATTGCGCACGCACCCCGACCCCTCTTTTGTTCTTGCTTTGATTAATGACTTGCGTTTTGGCTTTCGCATTGGTTTTACCGGGCCTCGTAATGTTTCTGTTCATAGTGCTAATCTGTCCTCTGCAACAGCTCACCCCGAAGTCGTTGACCAATATCTCGCAACTGAATGCCAGCGGGGCCATACGGCCGGTCCCTTCACAGCTCCGCCATTCGCCTGCCTCCGCACATCAGGAGTCGGCGTGGTCCCGAAAAAATCAGGCGGGCACCGGTTGATCATGCACCTCTCCGCCCCGCAGGGGAACAGCGTGAACACGTTCATTGACCCTGACCAATACCGCTTCAAACTGATTACGATCGACTGCATTGCCGATCATGTTCGCAGAACAGGCCCCTGCGCACTGATAACCAAGGTGGACCTGAAGCACGCGTTTCGGCTCTGTCCAGTACACCCCGACGACTGGCCACTGCTTGGCATGCAATGGAGATCGAAGTATTACTTCGACACAGTCTTGCCGTTCGGTCTGCGGTCCGCCCCTAGCTTGTTTAACCGCCTAGCAGACGCGCTTGAGTGGATCCTACGCCACAAGTACAGCATACCCGCACTCGAGCACTACCTCGACGACTTTGTTTCGGTATCACCACCGGCCACTGTGGTGCCATCGTCGACAGCCGCAGTCCACAAGGCCACGATCCTTCAGGTGTTCGACAACCTGGGTGTCCCCACTGCAGTTGGCACCGACAAGGTGGTGGGTCCATCCACGTGCGTCACCGTGTTGGGCATCGAGATTGACTCGGCCACCGGGGAACTCCGCCTTCCCACTGACAAACTCCGCGCGCTGCAACATCTGCTGCAGTCATGGTCCACCCGCCACACCGCCTCACGGCGGGAACTCCAATCTCTAGTGGGCCACCTGTCTTTCGCAGCAAAGGTTGTTCCAGCTGGACGCACCTTTACTAGACGGCTCATTGATGCATGCACTTCCGCTCACAGCTCATCGCCCATCGTCCACCTGAGCAGCGATGCCCTAGCCGATATCCGGTGGTGGCAGGAATTCCTTCCCGTCTGGAACGGCAAAGCCCTTATGCGCGACCCAGAGTGGTCTAGGTCACTGGACCTTGAGTTGTTCACGGACGCATCCGGCCTAGGCTTCGGTGGCTTCTTTCAAGGTCGCTGGTTCGCCGGCGCATGGTCCGCAACGCAACAGACGCCGCCATACACCTCCATCATGTGGAGGGAGATGTGGCCAATCTCCCTCGCCTGCCAGCTGTGGGGACCGCTTTGGACGCAGAAGAAGATCCTGCTCCACTGCGACAACGCTTCCGTGTGCGCTGCCTGGGAGTCGGGCACCTGCCGGCACCCAGGAGTCGTGGCGCTCATACGCAGCACCCTCCAGACGGCCGCTCGCCACAACTTCTGTCTGCTTATCCGCCACATCGCCGGAGTGGACAACGGTATCGCAGATGCCCTATCCCGCGCTCAGTTCCCACGGTTCCGCCTCTTGGCGCCCGGGGCCGACCTCAGTCCGTCGTCACTCGCAAACATCCACGCCGCAGCGTGAGGAAGTCGCCATCCAGGGTCCGCCGTTACCGAGATTGGACGCTCTGCTCCTGAGACCACAGAACTATGCTTCTGCCCCCGTGTTTTCTTTTGTTTCCTTTACTTTTTCCGCTGTGTATCCCTGCTCGCACAGCCTACTGCCACGCCCCACCCGTTGCACCTCTGCACTAGTTGTTAAGCCCTCGCCGGGGTGTTACTGCCTATCATTTCTGCCTCAACCCTGTGTGCTTACGGATTGTCAAGTCCTTTAGAATCGCATCCCTGTGTGCTTATGGACCGAGTCAAGTCCTCTAGATTTGCCGCCCGGTGTGCTTAGGGACTGAATCAGGTCCCCTAGACGCCTGCACTTTCTTTGGGAGCAGTTCGGTCCCGCCGCTGCCTAGGGAGACCACCGCAATAGACACATCTAGATGGGGAATCAAATAGGCAAGCCGCAAGCAAAATCCGCACGCCTCATGGCAGTAGGCCTCCGCCGGTCAGAGAGCCCCGTTACACCTAGGATCATGACTGCGCTCATGGGGGTGGGTCGTACGAAGCAGGGTCACTCGCACTGACTGAATTTCTTTGTCCTTTGTTGTGTTGATTCCAGGCTCGCTGGCCGTTGCCGCATGCAACCGCTCACATGATGGCTCGCCAGCCCAGATCGCTCATCTATCCGCAGAAAAGCAACCTCCCGCAGGAGGGCCACCGCAGTCGCTTCCTCCGCAACGTACCGCTGGCCCCAGTCAGCACGCAGGGCTAGCCATCGTGTTTCTCGCTTGCTTCCTAGCCGCTGTCTAGGGCAGGTGGTGATGGATGTGCGCATGTTTGCGTATATGCTTGTGTTTATGTGCGCGCATGTGGGCATGTGCGCTGCTATACGCGGTCACTGGTGGATGCATGTGGCGCGCTATCTCTTCTCCTGTGTCCTCTCTGCCAGGCTCGCCAGCCGCCGCACTTTCCGCACGAGCCGAACAACTCATATCCAATTCAGTGGCCGCAGCCACGCAACGCACATATGCCCCGGGCTGGCACGCATTCCGCAAGTTCATGCAACAGATTCACCGCGACCCGCTGTCACCGCGTCACGATGACATCCTGCTATTTGCCGCTTCCATGTCGCATTCTGTCAGTGCCGGCACTTTGAAAGTATACCTGGCCGCAGTCAGATACAACCTCCTCTGCAGGGGAGGACCTGTCGAAGTCCTTGCATCCAGCCGGCTCACCGCTCTGGTGAAAGGCCTGGAGAGAGAACGCGCATCGCTCCCACGGCACGCAACTGCCCAGCCTCGGAGACAGGCTATCACCGCCGTACAACTCAAGGCACTACATCTTTTCCTGCAGCGTTCCGCTTATAGCCCTGGCGACACGCTCATGCTATGGGCCGCATTGACGACAGCATTCCATGGTCTGCTGCGAGTTAGCGAGTACACGTCCCCGTCGCCAGCAGGGTCGGGTACCCTGAAAACTCTCAGGCGCGCTCACCTCGTGCTCTCTCAGGCCACAGCCAGCTTACGGCTTCAACGCACGAAGACATCGCAGCTGACAAGCGGTGGCGAGGTTGTGCTGCATCGCCATGCAGACCCGCAAATATGCCCCGTCCTGGCCCTCGAGGCATACGTCAGATCGTGCGCATGGGGTAGTGACGAACAACCTCTCTTCAAGTTCGGCAATAGACGATGGCTCACGCCCAATGACATCAACGTAGTGTTGCGCAGGGTTCTGGGCCCCAGCTACAGTAGCCACTCCCTCCGTGCAGGAGGCGCAACGCACATGGCGAACCAAGGTGCCCCGGAGTATGCCTTGATGGCAGCCGGGCGGTGGTCCAGCGGAGCTTACCGCACGTACGTTCGCAGGCCTGCAGGCATGCCGCGGCGTTACTGAGCCACGGGTCGCAAGCACCGCACGCCCCCCTTTTCTTGGAGGCACGGGCTCGGCCGATGGGCACGAAATCCGCATGGTGCACATCCATCGGCTGCCGCAGACAATACAATTAATATACTTGTGGGTACTACCGAGTACTTAGTGGTCATGCAGTTGCCATAGCAATGTACTGGTACACCCAGCCTTTATGATTGTTACATGACCCCATGGGTCGTCTTTCAAACGCTCTTTCATAGCCGATTGATGGCGTTATTTGTTCCTATCATACTATGTTACAGATGGGCGGCCTTAGACGGCCCAGTCCGATCATTTCACGCGAACTATGTTATACGTCATCATGATCACAATAATCATGTCGTGCTCACGTTCAATATAAGCTTGCGACACCCCACTGGCTCATCTCTTCTGTGGTGTGAGGGTTAAATGTTGGTTTGCGTTGCGCAAACCGTAGTTAACCAGCACGCCACGGGCCGCGCCCCCGCAGGGGAATATTCCCGCAAGATGACTTTAGGTGACCATACGCACTCCGCCGTGCCGCCGCAGCCGACTTGCGCAAGCACGCACTCTTGCAGAGTTCCGCATTCGGGTCGCACTCGCGTACGACATCCCGTATGAGCCACCCTTCGCCTGGCGGATGCATCCGTAGACGGCTCATCTACTGCTGGCCGGTGTAATTTTGCCAGTTGTCTGTTTTGCTGCGAGTGCTCGCCACGCAATTTTGTTTCCCACCCGCCCACGCCTACCGGACGGAGGGGAGGCACGGGCTCGGCCGATGGGCACGAAATCCGCATGGTGCACATCCATCGGCTGCCGCAGACAATACAATTAATATACTTGTGGGTACTACCGAGTACTTAGTGGTCATGCAGTTGCCATAGCAATGTACTGGTACACCCAGCCTTTATGATTGTTACATGACCCCATGGGTCGTCTTTCAAACGCTCTTTCATAGCCGATTGATGGCGTTATTTGTTCCTATCATACTATGTTACAGATGGGCGGCCTTAGACGGCCCAGTCCGATCATTTCACGCGAACTATGTTATACGTCATCATGATCACAATAATCATGTCGTGCTCACGTTCAATATAAGCTTGCGACACCCCACTGGCTCATCTCTTCTGTGGTGTGAGGGTTAACTTATGATTGGCAAAAGTCCCAACCAGGCCGGACAGGCCCGGACGTCCGGACTGCATGGAGAAAACATACATACGGGTAATATACATGTACATGTTACTACAGAAGACAGTACAGTCAACTTCGCTAATAACGACTGCGGATATAACGACAATTCGCGAATAATAGAGAGGTTGCGCACAACGAAAATTCGTTAGATTTCGACCGTCCGGGTTCGAGTAACGAAAGTTGCTCCGAAGATCCGTCCAAACGTGACCGAAACAGAGCAAATCTACGAAAATATTTTTCGTTACCTGGAGTACTAAAAAAACTGATATTTTACAACTCCCTGTCTTGACTCTTCGCACCCGCGCGGCTGCCGCGTCGACCCACTACGAAAACGTTCACGCGTTGTGCGCAACCTCACGCTTTACGAATATTCGTTAGCTTTTTTCGTTAAAAATATTCGTTACGGCGCTACGAATTTTCGTTGTGCGCAACCTCTCTATTACAGCATTTCCATGCCCAGATCGCGCGATGCAGAGCAAAGTACAGTCCCTTCCAACTGTAATGCATAATTATTATAATGAGACTTCGGGTATAACAACACTTCACGAATAAGGACACTTTTTTGATGCCCCGCCGAGTGTCGTTATAAGCGAAGTTGACTGCATGTTAAACGCGTTCTCACAATGCATTGCAACCAGGGAGTAGTACAATACCTGATTGCAACATCGCTCCCTGGCTTTGTTCCAGTCTAGTCTGAAAGCTTCGGATAATGAGATCAAAAAGCTCCCAACAGTTCAAAGATTGCCACAATGACGTCACTGCATACATCGATGTATGCGCATTTTCACACACTGGGTTCGGGATAACGTTTTTTTCAAATAGCAAATGAAAAATGGTCGTTAAACGTTAGACTTTGTGACTCGTTCGACTTTCCTACTATATTGGCATGGGGCCATGGGGGCTTGGTTGAAGGTGAAATATCATATCTCGAGAACACTCGTCGGTCTTCGCCGTAGAGCTTTCCGACCCAGACCGTTTGACTCCAGTCCGCACCAGGACTCAGTGTCAGCAGATGACACACTGCAGGCATTTGTTCTCATGTGGGGATATACCTGGACACCTACTACAATATTAATACCGGTAGTAGAGACGAGTTCTGATTTCTGAGCACTGACTTGTTGCATGAGGCATGATGTTGGCCAATTGGTCCTAGCATGGGGAGAATGTGGTACTACTAGCACTTTTCGCTGGTTCAGATGAGAGCTTCGCTTCGTCTGTCGTGGTGAGAAGGAGAGCTCTGTGCCAGCGCCAGGGTAACTTTGCAGCGTGAAGAGCGTGTAAGGGCTGCCCGGCAGGCGTGTAATTACCTCCATATTGCCAGGTGTATTTTACCGCCAAGTACAGCTGCAGTGGAGTCTTCAACCTCATTTAAAAATGAATCCAAACTAGCAATAGCAACCATCAAAAAAGAAGGCATAAAGCAACACTACCCTCTAGTAGTACAATGTAGTACTGAAGTAGTCGTAGTTTAGTTGTCTGGTGTTCACTCTTCCCTGGGCAAGATGGCTTGTCTCAGCAGTCGCAGGCTTTCTCTGGTTTCTTCGCGGCTGGGTTAAGGTGGAGTATAGCTGTGGTTCTTGATGCGTGAAGGTGTGTTTTCGACCTTCGATTGCGGATGGGGTCTTGACGAGGACCAGGCAGTTTCCACCGAAGTAGGTTTGGGTGTTTCGGCTGTAGAGGGATCATGGCAGGTGGTGTTCCTTTCCTAGTTCCTTTAGTCCTCTTTTTCCTTGTTCGCGTTCTGCACGCATTCTAGCGAGATTGGGTGGCGACTGGCCACTGGCGGCGAGGGTATCTGCGTGGGCAGGTACGTAGCGAGTGACGGACCATACCACTTCTGAGAGGGATATGCCTGCCAGTCGGTTGTTGATGCATGATGCGGAGATGTTCTCTGAAATGGAGTGGACGTTGACATAGAGTGGAATGTTGTTGGGTTATCGGCAAGATTGGTAGGTTTCTATGGGGAAACTCGTCTCTGTCATGGTATTGGTGACCAAGGACTTAGGTTACGGCTTTCGAGTTTCGTCACTCTCTCTGCGTCATGGCCGGAGGCAGAGGCGTTTCGGAGCACGGCGAGGCCATCGTCCCGATAGAGACCCTCACCGACCGACCGAGCCGATGTCCAAGTGGTGGGTGAGTGTGCTCAGAATGAGGGCAACGACCAGTTCGCATGCTTCGGCCCGCCTTGTATGACCGGACTCCATTGTGACGTCGGATAGCCCGTCTCTGCTTTTCTTGGTCCATGTTTGGTCAGCCGTTCCGAACAGGATTCTTACGTGCATGCAATATGAACTCGGTGTCATGGTCTGACATTTCATGTGATCTGCTCGGCGTAGGAGAGCTTGGCTCAGCCGGGTTTCTGATAGATGAACAGCGTGTGGAGAATCCTTTTAGATACAAAATACAAGCAAAGATCCATATCGACACGAATGTGTGTGCATCCTTCCTCTTGATCGCCTTGAATCGGTCAACAAGGGAGGAGGTGCCGGCTTCAAATCGTTCTTCCATTGGTTGATGTTCCCAGAGCGTCTCCACTATGCTGCTCAGTCAGGATGTTCTCGCCAAATGACACGTACATGTACATGTACCTCATACTTGGCAGGATCGATGAGGCGGCACGGCAAGCAACTAGTTCTTCAAGGAGTATCTGAGGTTGAAGCGCTTTGGCATGTTCGTTAGGACAGCACAGCTAAGGTCACGAGTTGAGGAGTGCTCTACCACAAATGAAGCGTGGGAGCCAAGACGATGTATCCAGTGTGCGGAGAGGGCTCAGATGCTACGGCGACGGCAGAGCGAAGCACACAGCACAGCACGAGGGTAGTTTGCTGCAACTCTTAGTTTCATACTCAGTGCAATCATCAAGCGACACGAGGATGTGAGTACACTTATACAAGGAAAAGGGGAGGAGTGGTGCTGCGGTGTTAGTGGTCCTGGAGGTGGTGCTAGGCTTTGGATGCTGGGTTGATAGTGTGAATCGCGCTGGTGTGAAACTGTGTTACATGCCTGTGGGACTGTGCCATGCCGTATCCCAACGTTATTCGCACATGCAGTGTGACTTGCTGGTAGAGGTCAGGAGGCTGTGATGGCAACGTTGGTTAGGTGACACCATGGTGACTTATGAGAAAAGATACAAGCACTGCACCTCCTAAAATTACAATCACGGTTATCACCTTCCATGTACCTAGCTTGGGCCTACGCACCTTTGCCACCCGATCAGCAACAACAACAAAACTTCTACAGCTAGCTAGCTTGTAGGATCTAACATCTTCGAACTCGGGATTTTTGCCACCTGATCACATTCACAGCCTACTTAGGCCTGACCGTGCCGCCAGCAGGACTGAGGCCATACTATGCGTCCGGATTGGATAGTTCTAAAACTACACAGCGCAGTCCCTCATGCATGTACGGACTTAACCTTAGGTCTACTGTATCTACTGGCCAGAGAAATCCATCCTCCTGGATAAAATAGCGCCAGAACGATTATGCAGCCCTAGCACTACGCATATTGGTCTGTGCACTCGAGCGCGGGGCTACTAGTACTTCATTCATGAGGTCAAATTTCTCTGGCGAGAACTTTCAACATGATTGTACACAGTTCAACTTTACTACTCTGCTTACTTTCACTGTTTCAGCGATACACACTATCAAGTTCAACACAACGCCCAACGCATAGCTATTACCATTAGCACCACACTCAGGACCACTAACTTTTAAAACACACCTCAGCATCCGCTTGCCTTGTATATACTGCCATGGCTAATAGCATCGCCACATTGTTGTCTGATGAGTGTTCTGAACATGGACCCCTTGTACATTTAAGGCCAAGTTGTAGTAACAAACTATAGCCTTGCTCTACTGCTGTACTGTACTGTGTAAGATTCAACCCTAAACCCTGCTGTCATGTAGCCAGGTCCTTCTCCGCCTCCTGAGAGCTTGCATTATCGCATTTTATGACTTTGGAGTGTCTGTGAGGCCGTAGTTCTGTCTGATATTCCCCACTGCCACGGTAC